AACAAGCCATCAGCCACATATTTGTCTTCTCCAGTAACTCAACTTCTTTACTCTGAGGTCATTTTGAATTATACTCAGGAGTCCAATGCAGTTAAATGTAAAAACAAATTCAAGAAATATTTAATGTAAAAAAAAAAATGCTGTTTTTTCAAGAATCTTTTTCAGAGTACCAGTCATTGAACTTTTGGGTTTTTCTTTTCTTCTTTACATAGTGTAATGGAGATGTCAATGTTGTCATTGTCGTTTGTTAATTTTACATTGTTTTTGTTGCCTGGTATTTTGTGTATGTGTGTATTCATTGTCTCCAGAATCAGCCTCAGACTGGTGCAGTGCTACAGATCCTATCCCTTGCCCTGGGGTGGAGTGTCTGAATTTGATCAGTGGGCCACAGTGCGTTTGCCCACAGAACTACGCACTCAACCCATTTGATGGACGGACCTGTATGTTCTCCCACCCAGCGAGATCTGTGGTAACGTATTCGTTTTGTAATGTACTGCTTTTCTCAAGACCTCTCAAATCTGTAAATGTCTATTTTTGTATAGTATTTTGGGAGTGGCCGGTTTGTTGGTGAAGTTGGGTTGGTCTAGACGTGGTATCGCTGGATAGAAGGCGTGGTTGGCTCGAGCTGGACGGGTTGAATAAGAGTAGAAACTAGGCCAGGCCGGCCTGCCTCATGGAATGGTGTAGAGTAGGGGCTTGACTGGGCTCGAGGAGATAATTGGGTTGGACTGGTCTGAATGGGACAAGGAGAGATAGAGATCAGTCTAGGTTGGGCAGGATGGGGCAGTGGCTAGGCTATGTTGGATTGGGGGTGAGAATACCAGGGTGGTGTGAGGAAGGGGGGAATGGCAACGTAAAGGCAGGGCTGGGGGTGGTAGGGTTGGCTATTTTCCTGGCTGGTTTGGCATTTACTGTGTGTGGCTTGACGGAGATGAACAGAGTCACCAGCTGTTGAGAACTGGACGTGATAAGGATGCTTGAAGGCCGTAATGTGAATGAACTCGCTGTTTCCATTTTCAACTTTGTTATTCTACCCTTCTAAACAGTCAGGATTGAAATGTTTACAGTGAGCAAGCCACGAAAGTGTCATATGCAAAAAAAAAAAAAATTTCCTTTCTGCTGCCATTGTGAACTCTTGTCAGATACTGGTTGCCGATCAAGACAGACTCCTGTTTGTAGACATAGTGCTTGGGCTGGCCGGAGTCCATCCTGTCCAGGGTGAATGGACGGACATCTCCAGTGTCGTCTACGATTTTACCTCAAAATATTTGTTTCTCGGGGACCTAACGAAGCAATCCGTGGAAAGGTAGGGACAGGTGTACGTGTATGTGTGTTGATGTCACTTGATACGGCAGTTTCTTAAAATGTGGGTGTCGCCAGGAATTGGGGCAGGGGGCTCAGGACTTTTTCAAGGGGGAGGCGAAACTATTGTAGGAGCCAACCTGATAAACCATTACTGGTGGAGAGGGGGTCGAGTCTCATTTTGTCAGATTGCCTCACACTTTGTGTCTCCTGACAGATATTTCGCTATTTGCAGCCTTTGTTTTTAGTCCTATGTGTGGCACAGAAGGATTTTGCATGAAACAGGTTTTGAAATTCCAGGCTATGGCATTTTGTTGTAGTAGGCATCACAGTCGGTAACTTGTGGAGGAAATTTGTACACGGAAAACTGTCAATTCAACATTGCATTATTTAATCATGCTGATATCCATCAACAAGTGTCAGCAAAGGTACTCAGTGTCAACAAAGCACGAACAACCTGCAAATGCACTCTAAAGCTTCAGAAGACGTATCATCATATTCAGAAGGCAATCAAAACATCTCCTCTTATATACTTGTATTATTTGTTTCATTTTACTCTTTGATGTGGAGCATTGCGATAACACCTTTTTGACAGGTATGACACCACCTTGGGATTTTACTGGGCGCCCCTTGAGATCTCCAACCACACCGTCCTGTATACAGGACAAGGCAGTGTTGAGGGCATTGCCTACGACTGGGTCCATAAGAACCTGTATTTTGTCAACGCCGATGCCAAGGCAATCCTAGCCATACCCTTTGATGGCCGCTTCTCAGCCAGCATGGTGCTTGCTGAGCTGGACAAGCCTCGGGCTGTCGCTGTGGACCCCAGAGAAAGGTCTGTTCCTCTTTCATCGAGGCCGCGTCTGACTTTCATGGCTGCGGCTTGAAATAACACATAATTCTATGGGAGGGGGGCTGCAGTCACTACCACAGACTCGTGTAACTTTAAGTCACAGCCAAGTAATTTAGACGCAGCCGGAATTGGCCAATCTGAACTGAAAATGTGCGACATCTTTGAATCTAAAGTTTCTATTCAAAAGTCACCATGTCATATGGTTTGAAGCACAACCTGTCATAAACCAATACCATTCTGACAGGATTCTCTTCAGTCAGTAACCCTGCTTGACATCGAGGTTACATATTCTCAGTACTATAATGTGTAATCTTTGTCAAAAATGTGTTGCACCCATCCACAGATTTTCCCATTGGGGCAATATATTAAAAGAAATTGTCAAAGTCAGTCACTTTGGTACTCTCCCCACCTCATTTTTTTCAATTTCGGCAAAATGACAGCATGCTGCAAGGAATAACTTCATCAGGAGTGGAGTGCCATCACCATCATAAATGAAGTGGGTGTTTTTTGTTTTTTTTGTAATTCGGTTGGTTGATTCTTGGATAGCTGTAAATAGTCCATTCCCACCTTTGGTTGACCGACAAAAGCCACCCTAATTTAGACTGCCGCTTCAGTGCCAAAGCCCAAGACATGTCCCACTCCACTGCCACTACTCACTTGAATTTCTCAACGCATTGTGGCAGGTACATGTACTGGACTGACTGGGGAGAGGCGCCGATGATCGGCAAGGCTGGCCTGGACGGCTCACAGCCGACAGCCCTCGTCAGTTCCGGCCTGGCCTGGCCCAACGGCCTGGCGCTGGACTATGAGGCACGCCGGGTCTACTGGGTGGACGGCAAACTGAACGTCATGGAGTACGTCGGCTTTGATGGGGATGGACGGCGAGTTCTCATCCAGAATCTAAGACACCCATTTGGTATCGCCCTCTTCCAGGTGACTCATGAATTTTTTTTCCCAATTTATCGCTCTTTACACCGTCTCCTGCACAGTTCATTTCTGCAGGCCTTACCTTAAATTGTGGGGGTTATTTTAACCTGAAAAAGGACTTTAACTCCACAGGATCAAGTCTACTGGGGCGACTGGTCCCCGAGGGCTTTGTCATCTGCAAACAAGTTTACCGGAGAGATTACCGAGGAAATATATCTTGGAACAAGTCCCATGTTCATGTCTGTGCTCAAGCTGTATCCAGAACTTGGCTTTGAAAGTAAGTGGGTAAATAACTGCAGATGAAAATAGTGGTCTCGTGAGAGAAGGAGCAGGGTGGGCCACACCCCCCCTCCCCGAATAAAAACTTGAGAAATAAAAAGAAGTTTGAAAAAAAAGAGGAAGAAAAACAGATGTTAGAGCAAGAGAAATCAACAAAGAGATGACAGGAGATGAAAATGGCCTATTTGTTGAAAAGTACTGTAGCATTGATCCCAGTCTTCTGTTAATCGTCCATCAGTTTACTGCTGATTTTGCTCTGTCATGCTTTATTTCCATCTTCTATTTTCAAGGGCCACTGTCCGTCACATTTTGTTGTTACATGAATCAACCAACTAAATTAATCACTTTGTCGTCCCGTGCCATTTTCCATCACCTTTTTTGGCCTCTCCATTTGCACACTTTTGCTGTGCGCGTCTTTTCCCATTCCCAGACGTCGTTGACTCCTGCGATGTGTACCCGGGCTGTTCCCATCACTGCCTGCCCTCCCCATCCAGCCCCACTAACTACAGCTGCACCTGCCCGGCCAACGCCTACCTGGGCCCAGACGGACGGACCTGTCTTTGTACAAACGGCAGACGCCTGCATGCAGATGGCACAAGCTGTGAGGAGGTCAGGGAAATTCATTGGACCTTTCACAGTCCATTGTGGTTTTCATTTTAGCAGTTCAGTATTACTGTAGAGTCGTCCAGTGCTAGCAAAACTGAACAATTGTTCAGAAAATTAAATTAACTAAAGGTTGGGCTCGACTGATTGCTGTCACTTTATGACATAAATGTGGCATCAGGCTGAAATATGAAAACAGAGCTTCTGTCTGTTTCCTCAGGTTTAGTTTTCACCCACAGCATTGACTTGTAGACAGATGTAGTAAGTGGTCCAAGACCAGCTCACTTGAAATGGGCACAAAAATTCAGCTCTCAAAAACCGATACTTTTCTCGTGACGTGGTGGAAAAACTAGAAATGCTAGTATTTGAACATTCCTGAAGCAGGTTGCAGTCGTCTGCACACAGAGGATGTTCTGATATTTCCAACCCTACGGTTTCCCTTAGTCACTGCAGGCTAAGATTCATGCCGACCCCCCAATTGTTTGGTTCAAAGAACACACACAGAGTCCACGAAGATTGTGAAAGTGGACCTTGTCTTGAACTTGAATGCTGCACACATCTGCCATTTTGTTGTTACAAATTCTGCTTCATGAGACCGCCCCGGAGTATTGCAAAATATGAGGTTTGGGTAAATATTGTTCTAAGTGACCCTAATGAGTTAGTGTTTCTCGTGTCTGGTCATATATCAAAAGTGGCCTGCGTATCTTGCTTTTTTTTAATGAAAGTCAAATAAAAATCCAAAACTTTTGGCCCAAATAATACCATTCCAGAAAAGGTTAAAGGTACAAGTTGGTCGTTTAATGATGTGGATGGTTTCACACAATTGGCAACCCGTTGAAAATATCCCTGCACGTTCAATTTTTTAGGAGCCAGTTGCCGATCTCCCCTTGCCCTTGCGAGTCCGAGGCTTGACCAGCCAGTACCTGGAGGACCAAGGCACAAACTTTGACATGCGCTGTGTCGTCACCGAGAGCGCAGTGACCTGCACGCCCCGAGGGGCCAAGGAGCCTACCTTGGCAGACCCTGCAGGGCGATACGAATGCCGACCTCCGCGCAATTAGCACGCCACCCAGCTCAAGCCAAGGTACCCGACTGAAATTCAAAAGCACTTTGGACCACCTGTCATTGGATTGTGCTTTCATCAATCAATTTGCTTGCTGTTTTGGACAGCATTAAAGCAAACATTGCATTTGAATACAGACATATCAAATCGACCGTGAGTCTTGTAGTTTTAATACACTGAATTTGTCCTCACAGAGAGTTTCTGAGCCAACATTGTAGAACAGTTATATCACTTAATGAGTTGTGAAGTTGTCATTTTAAGTAGTTGTGTAGAAGGAAAACTGTTTCTTTAAATTGGAATTTTACAGAGGAGACATAAAAAGGAAAGTAGTGAAGTTCAAATTTTAATCAGCTGTTTCCTGAGAATTGCAAGACTCTTCTGAAAAGATTGAAAGTAAACAATTCGAATGTCATTGTACTGGTCTGTTACCATGGGAAATCAAGCCATTTGCCTTATTTGGTTATTTTGAACAAGAGACGGTGCTGCCTATTATAAAATTAGTGGTTTTAAAACTGGACTGTATACCATTTTGATAGCCAACTTTGTAGAGTTTGAATATGTAAACTAGGTCTGATGACGAATTGGCTCCATGATAATAAATTCCATTCGGTACAAAGGATAAATGTTGCAGTTGGTAAGTATTACGGTTGTCAGATAGATTATTAAAAGAATCGGTGTGGAACTTTAATAATAAATCATATTTTCAGTGGCAGTGATGTAATCTCTCATTGACAAACCCTCATTTTGTTCCTTTTGTCAAGATGGAAGAGGCACTTGTATGAGATTTGTGTTTTAGTGCAGACACAAAGTAAACAGACTCACTACCCAGTCTGATACAACTCCAGTCGTCTTATCATCCATAGATTGTTAAAATAAACGTAGCTGTCAGACTGTTCAGAAACCAAGTAGGCTTTGTTTATAAGTGTGTAGAGCTCATGATTTATGGTCCTAGCATTGCTCCTTCAACCCCAAGAAAACTGGTAATGCCAACGTAATCTGACGTCACCAGTCATGGAATTAAACCATATAATCCATAGACTTACTAGAGTTGCACTTCTCGTGTTGTAGCCGATATCCAAGTGGGAACTTTGTAAAGACAATGTTGGATGATATTCAACAGTTGATATCTTTTGAAGCGTTAAGAATATGGGGGAAATGAACTAGAGTGACGGTAATCTTTTTAGGGGGGTGTTTTGTTTGAAGGTCAGTGAGGTGGGAGAATTGTTAACTGATCCGAGAGTCACTTTTAATTGGTCTCGTTTTGGTGGGAGGGCTTAAGTCACGGCATTTAATAATTTTTTCAAAACAGTTTTTTTTAATTGATTTGTTATATTTATCATGTCTATGTACTTCCGGTAGTTCTTCATTTAATTTTTACGTTGTCCTTAAAAGGCGTGTGAGAGCGTCTGCCGATTTATACGTACTGGTTTGTTCGTTCCGCTCGCGATATTTTCTTGCACATTCTGGGGACACTTCCTGTACTTTTCTACAGGAAACTGGCTTTGTCGTCAGTCTTGAGGGGAGACTAGTCTTCTGCGTCGTGGTAGCTTTCCTTGTTGAAGTTTCGGCTCCGGTCACTTGTGTGTACACGCGTGTGCACTTTGGTCCGTTTGCGGCAAAAGTCTGAGAGAAATAACAGTCTGTGGTCGTAAATTTGACATTACCATGATTAATCACTGTGCGTCCGATTTTCATGAAACTTTGCGACACCAGAAAAACTTAAGAATGCTTGGAGTAAGAGTTAAAAAAAACCAATTACTCTCTTCAAGATTACTCTAAATTAAGGTGAATGATGGAACGCAGTCTTTTATTGTGCATTACGTCAAGTTGCAGTAAAAGTCACAGTCGTATTATTTTTTACAAGTGGCTATGGCTGGCTGTCAGTACAAAAGCAAAACGATAATTCGCGAAGTGTTCAGAAAACCAAATACTAAATAGACACCAAATAGTAAACTCTGCTACTAATTACTAAATGAAATGAGACCCTCGTGAAAAATAATCATGAAAATGTACATTTTCATTTAAAACTGAACACTAACTAATGGTGATTTCTGCAAACTGGTTGCCCCTAAGAAATAGCAGACAATACGAGAGTGGTCGTCAGTTAACATTGTCTAACAGGGAGAGTTTCCATTCAGGTTTTGGAACAAGTGAGGGAAGCCAAAAAGATATTAAATAGGATTGAATTTTTGCTTTTAACGAGCACCATTTAATTAATTATATTTTCATTGAGGCTGAGAATTGTTAGGATGAAGGGAGTTTTTGGATGTTTTAGGAAAGCTCCAAAGTGAAAGGCCTCGGCCGGTAAATGACGAGCCGGTCTAGTCTTCTTTTGTACTGAGTCCGTGATTCTTTCTTGTGGCAGGGAAAGTTCAAAGCTGTTTTGTTTGAGCCGATCCCGTCCTACAATGTGCAGCACAGGGGCGCTTTGTTAAAAACTAGTTTTGATTTTTGTACACAGAGGGTTTGTATAAAGCCTTTTGTCGATGGACTTTCGAATGTAGCAATTCATTCATGAGAAAGATTTCAGTGATTGAGCGGTGAGAGGCGCCTTCTTTGTCCGCTTCTGTACCACCAGACGGACCAGACGGGTGGGCCAGCCGGAAGTCCCCTAAGGCATGGCAAACATGACCACGACCGTGGATAGTCACTCGAGAACTTGCACGTCCTCTCACTGGGTGTCCACTTTACAAAACGCCATCACCAGACGTGTCGGTTTGGCAGGCATTGTGCTTTCTTTTTCACTTGTGACCAAAATTACAGGAAGTGTTTTTAGCGATCTACGATGTTCACCGTGCAACGCAGCTAGGTGCCGACAGCTGTCGTGAGCCAGGTGAGTAGTTAGCTTTATGGAAAAACTCGTTCGCGTTTAACAAAAATTGTTCAGTAGCAACTAACTCCAGCTTTGATGCGTTTTTACGGGCTGTTAGATGACTTGTGGTGAAGCATTGAGACTTTGAAACGTAAACCTCTGTTCACAGGTTGAGTGTTGGCCTATGTCTCAAAGTTAAAGGGTCGGTCAGTCTGATGATACTGCCGGGTTTTTTAATGAAGTGACAGTCAACTTTTGCGTAATAAATTGTAATGATTCAATGACTGTCAGACCACAGCTCTGTGGTCAGAATTAATTCTGGACAAGCTGACCAGCTCGACATAATTATTATTCGTTATTCGGGTTGCGTGGTTGTAATGTCAGTAAGCGGAAGGCTTTTTGTTAGATTATGAATTATAGGAGTAATACAAACCGGAAGTTTTTCCAAGCTGACTAGGTTTAAAAATACAGAAGTAGGCCTAGGTGGGCACAATTTGTAAAAGTAATCTTAGGAATACAAATTCTGCTTAATTTTCTAGGTTTGGTTATGAGTAGCTAGAAACACAAGTACTGTTTTGTTTGGCCTCAGCCTAAATTGTTCAAAGGGTGGCCCTTGAGTAGTTCATCAAGGACGTCGAATTGGGTTTATATACTTCAGGAATGGGTTTGCCTTGAAGAGGGTGTCTAGACTAATGTACATCACGCTGCGACTGCCCTTGAGAACCATGGAGGTACTTCCATGGTGACAACAGATTTCAGCCCCCCCCCCTGTCCTGCATAATTGCATTCCTGATAACATGTCTGCCCCTTTTTACCGGGCAGACAATGTTTAACCTTCGTAGTCTCTTTTCTATTCGATCTTTTATCTCGGCGAAAAAAAATCGTGAAATCTCAAAATCTTTCACAGTGAAGGATTTTGGTACATTCTTGAACAATTTTCAAGGGAATTCCAAATCACTTTGCTCTACTTCGAAATCCCGAATTTTGCAAAATCTTTCAAAGATCAAACCTATTAATGGATCTAGATTTAAGGATCTAGAGGAATTGAAAAAATGTTTTGAGAATGGCTGGGAAGGTTGGCCGACCGGTAAAAAGTAATGGTCGCCGTGCGGTTTGGAGATTTGCCCCTAGAGCGTGCCATTCGGTCGGCGAAGCTAGAGATGCCTTTTTTCGGATGATATGTAATTGTAAATGGCTTTTTTTTTCCTTCATCAGCCACCGTATTGTCCATCGTATGAAAGCAACACGTTTACTATCACCATAGAGCAAGTAACAGGAAACACCTTAAAAAAAAATGTCCGTGGAGGCATGTCGAATCATACGAGTTAAAAATTGCATTATACTGGAATTTGGGCAAGCAGGGAAAAACTCCACGTGCTCACAAGAGAAGAAAAATCAGCTGATGTTTGCCGTAATCAATTTAATAAAATACAGAGCACCCGCCCCCTTCAAGGCTGTCGTATATTCACCGAGCGAGTTCCCCGAGCGAGTTCCCCGAGCGATCTCGCACTCGCAGTAAATTGGCGATCAGCGTGTTCTCAGTTGGCTCAGCACCTGGTGCGGCGCTGCATGCTACGCACCCGTGCCCCGGAGAGACGTGACCTTCTGCCCTCAAGTCGGCTCCGTCAGCTGCCTCGGTCGGTCGCAAATTATAGAACTGACACTTTTACGGGCCAGGTGTGCGCTTTACTTTAAATTTATGCATGGCTGTCTTCAAGTGGTTTACGTGGTCCTAGGGGCTTGGGGTCATAAATTTTCTTCTTATGGGGGGGGGAATTATTGCTTGTTTCAAAGCCTGAGAAAAATATGGTCGGCAACCACGTTCTTATCCCTGTCCTGAGCTGTAAACTTCGAAGCGCCAATTCACTGTGGTTTTTATCAAATGTGCGAGCATTTTGTACAAGTCAAATACGTTCTATCGGAAGACATGCCAGCTTGTCGTAACTTTTTTTAATACCGGAATGATACGAGGTCGGGGTTTGTCACGCTTTTATGGCAGCAATTCATTAAATGGCCAACTGACGGGGGGGTGAACGCCCAGATCGTTTCGCGATTCTTTATTCCTGAGATTCAGCATTGAAGAATTCTCGCGAAGTACAATCTTCATTGTTCTTCCCCAAAAAGGTGGTAAGGTTTGGAAAGTATCCAGCCCTGAAAGAAAATAATTGTCAACATGTTGTCGGAGGGGGAAAGTTGCCCCCCGCCTGGACGTCACTGATACCATGGAGGATATAGGACCCAAGGGGTGCCCAAAACAGTCCTGTATTGTTAGATGAAAGTGATGTTCATCGATTATTGGACACTGCACTTGAGCAGGTGATGGGACACCAATGAATTGCATTTAACACAATTGATATTCTTACCTCGTAGCTTCACAAGTCGTTATGATCTCACGCTTTTGGGAGTCTTACGAAATAGCCACTGCGTGGTTATCATGTAAGAATGCATGACAATAATGTTGTGTATGGGCCCTAGCTAGCCCTATACATGGACATTGATCCGAAATGAAACACCGCATGCAGGAGATATCACACGGTGCGCTGGTGAACCGTCCTTCAAAATTGAAACAACCTATCTTTTCAACATCACTCCAAAAAACATCGCCAAAAAATTAATTAACATCTCCCCAGCGTAAATCCATCCTTAGAAGCATCACTCCAACTGTCGTATCCCGTCCCTTCACCTGCATGGTCCAACCGAGGAATGAAATGTCTCCTTTCCGTCCGTCCCTCCGATTGTAGGCCCCGCCCTCCCATGCCCTTTCCGGATGATCAGTCTGGCACACGCATAAGGTCTACGTGGCCCTCCGTCATAACTTTGCAATGCCAGGAATTAGTGAACCGCGTCTGAGATCATCATTACGCGCATCTGGTTTCTGTTAATGAACGAACGAGAGAATTTATTTTCAAGTCAAGGTTAAAGTGGATCGTTCTCCCGATGACCTCGCGCGCATACCGCCTGAAGACACTCCACTTCGTATTTAGAAAGAACACGTCTGCCCAAGACAAATTCGACTCTTGACCGAGTTCTTGGAGCGGCGACTCATGCAACAATCAGGGGCCCACACTCTCGTCAGAAAGAGTCCGCAACATGATATTTCCATGTTTATTTCGGGTTAACGCTCTGGTGGAAACCAGACCCAAGTTCTGGGCTCCTCTTTCGACCCCCAAGGACGAACGGAGACTGGCCTTGGCCGGGAAAATTGTGCCGACAGCAACAGTGAACCAGAACGGACACAGAGTGGCATTTACAGTATTTTTTCTTCGCAACAAAATCCAAAGTATTCCCAGCAAAATCTGTTTGGATTTCGTCTGGATTCAGCACGGTGCACTGACAACTCTCGTAGTTGGAAAGCTGTGGTCGCGAATGCGAAGCATATAAATTACTTGTGATATGAAATTGACCGTCTGACGACCCTCTTGAATGGTTGTGTTTACGCAGGGATTCGGATTTGTCGCATTGCTCGTACATGCCATCACATGCGGTCCGGATGTGCCATTCCTACCGTGGCGGTGATGAGAGACGCAGGGCGACATTTGTGGACGCGCACGCGTGATCGGTCTTGGCCTGGTTTCACCTCGGCCTCTTGTGTGTGAAAAAGGTAAGACAAATTTACGATCTCGTCTGTGCCTGTAAAGACTTGAAAAGAACAACCAATACTTGTAAATTGTGTAAATTGGCTTTGACAAAATATTTCAGCAAAATTATTATTTGCCAATTCATTCAGTTTGTTGTATATATGTGGTTTGTACTGTACATGTGCACGTGTAAGCAAGAGACGAAAAATAATCGGAAATTCAGAAAAAAACCATAAAAATTAAAAAGAAATCAAGATTCTTGCACAGTCTCAATACATTATACGAGGGACAATCTTCTTTTCTTTTGGCTTCTCAGTTTGCCATCACATAACTTCTTCATTTCCTCCCCACATCCCCAAATTGCTGGATTCTGACTGGTCAGTCGGGGGGGGCACTTGCTACATCTTCGGACATTGCAGCTGTCAGAAGCAAAACCTATCTTCATTCCTTCATGATTTCACTCGATTTAATTTCTCTTGCAGATGAATTGGGAACCTGTCCGAAGCCAGCATCGTTCCCGCTGGTTACGTCATCTGCTTAGGTCGTGGAGACGATGGTTGCTCCTCCTCGTTCTCACCGTTTTCATCGCTACAAACTCCCTGCTGTACCGGGGTCTCAACCGGGCTGGCCGGTCTGTGGACCCCCGGAGTCTGCCCGTCCAGGAACGGGTCATCTCCATCGACTCATGGCAGACAGATTTAGGGGACACGGGCGGCGGCCGCTCGGATCTGTACATCGATTCGCCGGGGCAGTTCCATCGCCTGTCTGGGAGCCAGCGGGACAGAGTTGACTCGAGGACCGGGAAAAACAGGGCTGGGGTTCCGATGGTGAGATACATCAGACGCAGTGACGATGCTAACACCGGTTTTGACGAGAAACAGTTGATTGACACGCATGCGAAAGCCGAAAGAGTGAAAGGGGTCAGCCGAGGAGGACCAGCTAAGCGTGTTGCTGTCAGACACGATTATCGGATGGAAATTGGTAAAAAACAGAAAGTTCGAACGGGACAGAATGTGGAAGGGACTCAACAGGATACAACTCCAAATGAAACGATTCTTCTAAGAAGACCGAAAATCCCGATAAATCTTGTCCATGTCCAGTCAGCTGATAGTCAATCCAAATCATATCCCTTCCCTAACAAGGTTAAAACCCGCGCTTCTGAGCTGACGATGTCCAGGACCTCTTACCAATCAAAATGGCACGTTGAGCGTATTAACAACCCTTCAGTGTCTGCCGCCAAAGAAGACTTAGAGACCGGGAAGATACGATTTTATAGCCGACCGACTTGGCTAAGCGAACATGACGTGAAGACACTCAGACGCTTAGCAAATGACCCCATCACTGAGTTTCAAACATTTTCTGTCCAGCACGCCGGGAAATTCGGCCTTGGGCTCCTTGTTTTGGAGTCCGGTGACGAGCTCCGACGTACCGGTCACGACAGCGGCCGGTCAAATGACAGCGGGACGACGGTTACTGCCCAACTGTGCGATCATTCCGGCGTCACGTGCGCCGTGCTGTTCCCGCCTTCCGAGATCCACCGAGTCGCCGCGTTTCACCTCGACCGCGTGCTCGGGTTCAACCGGACGTTGCCGACCGTCTCCCGAAGGTTGACCGAGGAGCTCCGGCGTCAAGTCGGGCTGCCGGTGGACGTTAGCTGTCCCCTGATGCTGTATGAACCGAACCTGTACTTGGACCAGCAACTTGCCACACTTACCAGGGCTGAATTAACTGACTGCCTAGCGGGAACCGACGGTACAGGAGGGGTAGAATGGTGCAATAATGTTCTCGCTGAAAACTGGGGTGCTGTAGCACTCTTTGACTTTCTTTTACAGGTAAGTTCAATAAAGTTATGGGATCCAAGCTGGATCAAGAGAGGGCGCAAATTTCCTGGCAATGGATGCTCCCTTGGTAAAGACTCCGACGACATGAAACGCAAGCTACCAACAACATGAACACTCCCAACCAACATGGTTCTTTCAACCGACGAGGGAGTGCTTCTGCTCAGGGCGGATTGTGACCCCCCCAAAAAAATATTGTTGATGAACAATCAAAACTTATCAATGGTTGTACATGACGCACCCCACAACAGGCTACAGCCGATGGTCCCTCGGTGCTAGGTTCGAATACTACCACTGCCCTTGGCTATCTTTAGTGTCCTGTAATTAGCCTCAGGGTTTGGGTGACTGTGGAAGCCTAAAAGGTACAATGTATTACATATACTGGGCTTTTCTACTGCTTCCTTGGACTTCAATTTCCTTCGTCTTTTTCGGTCTTGGCATTTTTCAAAAGAACCGCTGTGCGTGTGAAAGAAAATGATAAGTAGAAATGATCCGGTTTCATTTGAATTCCAGAGTGTGGAAAATTTTATGACTCGCATTCAGTCTTCAAACAACCAAACCTCGACCTCACACATCTTCACGTCTCGGTTTGTGCAGTCTCCAAACATGGTGGGCCTATGCTGTTTCAAACAACTTTTTAAAAAAATCCCAAATCTTTTTCCCTCGTCACGGATGTAATTTGGTCCCTCGTGCCCACCACCGGAATCGTTGTGAACATTCGGAGAATTTAACGAGGCTCTCCCCTTTCCAAGTTCATGATCTCCTTAGCGGACAGGTCACATGCTGATGCAAGATGGCTGAGCAGCCCAAAATCGCGACGCCTACTTTTTCAAAGTTCGATGTATCCATTGAGCTATTAAACTCCATGGTATGTCTTATCCCCAGTAGCCAAATGCAAAGCAGCTGTTTTATTATAAATCAAATAATGTACCACAATGTTTTCCACAGATTTACCATCGGTTAGATTTCGGATGCTGTGGCCTGGAAGCGGCCGAGAGAATGCGTCGTTGCGGGCTGGTGGCCGTTGTGGGCGATATCCGGGAAGCGCCCCGGTGTACTGGCATCAGCGGCGACAGGTCGGTCGACCAGCAGCAGAAAATCGGCTGCAATTACCGCTTGTCTTCGGAGGCAGACAGGCTCGTTCTCGCAGAGAACCTCGTCGACTTTCTTGCTCCTGAGGACAAAGTGGATATGTGGATTCTTCGGGGAATTAATAGGTAGACCTAAACCCGGAAGGGGTTGGGTTTTTTCATGGAATCTGTTAAATTCTTGATTATTATGACAAGTTCTGTATTCGGGACAGGGTGCCTTTAAACTAACCCTATCAAAATCAGGAGGGAAAATGATGAAGCCGGGATCGACAAACTTGCACCTAATTCGACCCTAATTTCATCGTATCCAATCAAAACATCCTCGAAGATGTTCCGATAATAGATCAACCTTGTGAGGGCAAGGAGAGGTGTTAATAAGATGCGAAGTACATTACAACGGTAAGATTCGTTCCAGTGAGAAATCTCTTTGCCTCATAAAAATAGTCCTACTTGTACAATTCCACAACTTTACCACTGGGGGCAAGGAAAGTTTATAGCTCCCCCCAGTGGGTAAAATCCCTATAAATCGAGTGGATAGTGGCCCCAGAAGTAGAGAAATTATTTTAGAGAGCCAAAGGAATGCGGATTGTTGACAAATTACAGATAAGTCAGATACTGGGAATTTTAAACAAATTCTCGTGTGAAGTTCGATGGAAGTTCGCTCCCCATGGTCCAGAAAACAAAGGAAATAGGGCGGCCTTTTAAACCTTGGCTGTGGAGAAAAACAACGTGCCTCAAACGAACCCTGGTGTTTGCCCAGACGGTAGCCACGGGACTTTCTGGGCGAAGTTGTGTGACATTTAACCACAAAATTGTGGCGACCATCTGTACAAATTAGTGGCAGTCAGTGAGGTCAACGTGTCCGCAAACTGCCTATTCACGACCAGGAATTCTTTAGCCAAATTCACAGTTTTGCCATCTTCATAAACCCGAGACCCGTTACTGACCGAGGCAATTTTTTCTTCCATTAATTTTTCTCTTACAGCTTTCCCGCCCAGGCTGTGGCCATGATAAGAGAAGGACGGCTCCGCCAGTCGCTGCTCCAGTCTCTCTTTAGCGACAAGGGATACTGGGAGGGCCAAGGAGGCCGACCAGCCATAGAGAAAATCCTGGACGTCATCGACAAACGCGGGAGGATATTCCTCAAATATATTGGCTCGTAGTGGCAGAGAAAGACAAGTAACCAATGCACCACACGCGGCTCCTGAACTGTGTAAAGCGACTCCCGCACCCACCCCTAGTTCTTACGCACGGTGAAAAAACATCTGTGGGGTAGAAAATAACTCCAGATGTCAGCTTTGTCATCAAATATAATTAAAAATGACTCGGCGACTGAGACACATGCCCAGTTTGTTACGGATTTCTGTCACTTCCACAGATTGCGTCGATTTAAGCCAAAAAAGGGGTTCTGGATACTTTATTAAGGAAATTTTATTTCCGATTTTTATCACTCGATAAACATTACATTTTATTATATCACATTTTATCACATTAACAACACGATACAAATAACACAAGGAAAACACTTTTCTAAAGTATGCAGTTCATGACAACACAGCTTGATTAAAGAGTTTGTGAGAGCTAACCTAAGACTGAGCCAAATATTAATCTCAGTTTCAAGTAAACATGAACTGAACATCCCAGAAGTTTAGTGCCTTTAATTTCCTTGAGGGAAGTTTGCTGACATCGCGTATTATCTTGTTTATTGTTCTGACTGCATGTCTGAGGCCTTTTTATCGGAGTAGCTTCAACCACAATACCACAGTATGTTTACATCACGTCACCAATAGATAATTTGGCTGCCTTGTTTTGGCATTTCAAATTTCATTCCACTCGGTCTAGAATTGCACTTACATAGACTCACAAAATATTTTAAATTTTTACAACATGGTTCGACCACGCACCAGGAATAAAAGAAACTTTAAGATTTGTTTCTTTTTATATGGCAAAACAAAAAAACCGTTTCATAGATATCTTGGATATCAGTTTACTTAGATTTTTTCACCAAAACCTGCATGAAAAATAGAAAAATTACAGTACTGTCTACAATTACACATTATCGTATCGCTGTTTAAAACAGCAAAGCTTATAAATAAATTATTGATTGAAGACATCGTCATTTGAAGCAGCCTTTTGTCTCAACTACCAATAGTTTTTTGTCTATTAATAAAAGTCAAGAGCAAGAAATTCAGAAATGGGTGTCTTTTTTTACCCTAATGAGGTTTGGCAGAAAGTTGTTGGCCAGTTTACAGATAGAAATACACATCTACCATGCTTGTTTTGACTGAACTTTTCCATCCACAGTATGTCATATAAACTCCACGGTACATAAAAGTATGTCTCTTTCAGGCAGGACAACTAGTTATTTTGTAACAAAGACACAGTACCGCGTTCTATTCCACACTGAGAAAAAATATTACTCATAGCATACTACCTTATTTTGAAAAAAAAATCATCCAGAAGTGTCAAGCTTTTACCATTTGAACAAGATTTAGAATTCGTTCCAAGAATTTATATTGATCATGGCTCTTTAGTTCCTTTGAAGCATGACAAATTATTTCATTTGTGCAAAAATCAAACTTTGTAAAAATAAATTTGTCTACACCAATGCAAATCTGCATAATGTTTACAAATTTAAGTGCACATACGATTCATAGAGCAAACGTAAGCATCTTTGATCTAGTACACTGAATCCCACAGTCACTGTCATGCAGAGCATTCTATTAACTGCATTAGTGTTAAGAAACTCAAATGGTTCATTAAAATTCAGGAATGGGCATTGATTTCTTTTAAAAGGATGACAATTCAAAGTGACAACTCCAGAAAATACACTTTAGCATACATTTTGTTTTGGGTTTATCACCAAAAATGTTTTCCCCCAAATCATACACATGGATAAAGTGATGTATATTAATGTCTTGGAATGTGTGTTTAACTGGTGCTCATTTTAACGTTCAAATATCATTAAAGTCTATAAATGTTTAGAAAAGACCTCAGTTCCATGATAAAAAAAAGAGATCTTCTGAGAAGAACGCTCGAGTTATAGCTAATGTTGGATAAATCACGCACAAGAGGTCAAAGGTCACGGCTCACATGCCTTCCATGAACTGGCGCTGCAGGAGACGAAGGCGGGAGTCGATCTCGTCCCATTCCAGGTAGCCGGTCTCAAGATGGCGACTGCTGCTGCTGGTGACCTCAAAGGCGCCCCGCCCATGAATAACACGCCGGTTGTCAAAGGTCATGATGTCGCCTGGGAAAAAAGACACAAACTGCAAATGAAAAGCTGCTTATTTCTTTGGCCTCTCCCACCGCATGCTCAATCCAAACCCAGAACTGCTAATTGTTCGGATTGCTACTTTTGGAGGCTTAAGGTGGCCAAAGATGCGTACCCAAGCTGGCAATATTCTTCATCAAAATTAACTGCTTTCTGTGCACCTCTTCTGCAGAACAATTATTTCAGATCAACTCAAGAAATTTTACTGTCTTTCATGTCTCTCATCTTTGAGCACACAAGCGATGCTAATTTCCACTTTTGTTTGAATCTTCGGGGGGAGGGGGGAGGCAAACGTAAACGGTGAGCTGACCTTCTTTCAGTTTGTAGGAAAAGACGTTATTAGGGTGGTGGTACATGTTGCTGAATTTCTTGAGGGCCTGGTAGAGTTTCTGCGTTTGCTTGACGGGGAAACGCATCATCGGCATGCGGCCGTGGTCACTCAGATAGATGTGATCAGGGCTGCCGCTTCTGTCCAGGCTACATAACGAGGCAAAAATAAATCGACATGGAACATTTACGACACGGTTCGTCAAAATCGGGTGCCTTGGGAGCAATGTCAAACAGTTGTAAAATACCCCCATCAGCAGCACTGCAGCACGGTGACCACCGATTCCTACTAACTTCAAAGTTGAAGAAAAATCAACCCTGTCGTCCTCTATCCAGTTTTGACATATCCCATCATAGTCACTTATCCTCTTTCCAGGTTTTAATTCATATCAACTTCTTGCCTTTGAGGCCATATCTTCGGGGAGGGGGGGGCACTGCTTCAAAAACTGTTCTTTGTTTCTTGTCACATTTTCTGCCCCATACGGATTAGTTTTTTTTTCAACAGTGGGTTTTGTACTTGTAGTAAGGTCCCATGTCTTTTCAGCTTGAACAGTCTAACTTGGCTGGCAGACTTTCCTAGACCTGAAAATAGTATCGTGCTTTTTAACATGTGCTCATTCTCCTATAAATGTATATGACGGTTTTAAGAATCGGTTGCTAACAAACCAAGACAAGACTTTTATAAGTCTTATCTGTCTGCTACATGTATGTTTACCGCTGTTTGCTGTCTGCTATTATTTGTAGTTATTGTCTCCTCGCACTGCGGAGGCTGAGGGGAGAGAGGTGTGTTTCACGGTCTTTTGTTGCGTATCCGTTGTTGGCTTAGTGGCAAAGGTATGTGCGTTCATTCCAAATGGATTTGTTTTTGTTAGCCATTCATATAAATGATAAAAACCCTGGGGTGTGGCGCCCGGCTGTTCAACACAGATGATGTTGTTACCTTATATTGCTCAATAACTGCCTATAAAAGACGCTAAGACAGCCTAAACTTGCTACGCAACGGCAACATTTCAGTCAGGGTCAAGATAGCACCCAGGCGCTCCACATATTCTGCATTTTACATTGGTCCTGCATGTAAGTTTGGTATTTACATGTATTTTCTTCAAACTCTAAAAAACTGCAGCTCTTCTCTTTTTCCGGTGCGTGTGTTTTCTGTGAATGTGGCCAAATTATATTTTGGTGGGTCCTATTTTTGGGGGGGGAGGGAGAAGGAGCATTTTTTTTTCTTTTGGTGAAGAACATTGCCCCTCATTGGGATTGATGTCTGTATTATAAAACTGAAATTAACTGACCTGTGCACTCAACGCGAGGGTCAGTTGGACCATGGTTGGATGTTGTTGGAACTAGCCCAGGTTGGACCTCTCCATTCCAATGTAATGAAGACGTCGTCCAACCTGAGGTATGTTACACTCTGCATTAACGGCAGGAAGCAAGTAAATGTGGCATTTGGCAGTTTGGTACTTGCAAATTTTCTTGGTAAAAATTTAATGTTGTTCCAAAGTAAAAGAGCCACCAGCAGTAAGCAGTTGAATAAGCTAAACATTAGATTTTACTTTCACTTGTTGAAATGATTACGTGTATATATTATTTTCCTTTTGAACCCAAATCTCACTGGTACAATTCTTGAGGAGTTTCATCACAGATTATCATGCCCACTATGCCATGCACTTGTGTGCATACCACATTGTGTAATGCAGGCAGGAACAGTGGACGGCATTGTGTAATCACTAATTGAGGATTCCTATGCGGTGGAGACACGAGTATGGTCTTGCATTGCACGAAGTCCATACTCTTTATCTCAATGTGGACAAACTTGCAGAGTCTTTGCGCACATCTCACTAACGACACTTAACTTATCATTCATATTTCTCCTGTGTTAGAATGAAGAGGTTCTTGTGCAGGTGGATATGTCCGTAGTAGTGTTGTACTGAACATTCTTGCTTAGCAGGCCATGCTAGAAGAGCATTACCCAATCTTGTAGCAGAATTTGCCCCAGCTTTAGACGTGTTATATAGTGTGGCACTTCATTATGCCAAGTACTGCACTAAGGTGAGGTTGTGGATCATGGCTGCTCTGGTTTTGTTTTGACATGGTTGAGAACACCTCGCTGTAATGCCCAACTCGTAGCTACAGGCGAGTTCCCCTGGGTTGGGTCACTGTAGGCTGGAGCGAGTTACCTCAATTTGCGGTAAGCTACCCAGTCTCACTCTCTGTAACCATCAATGTGCCACGCCTCTCCAATAACCTTACTGTGGTATGTCACTTCACTTGCACTGTACTTATTTTGTAAAACTCACACCTGCACTCAACAGTTTAAACATACATGTAGTATGCACAAGAAGAAGTTATAGTCAGCTAATTAACCACCACGCACCTGCAACTTAAAATATCCAACAGTGGAGGTTGTTGCCGTATTTAGAAGAAGAAGTACATTAGGCTCACAGATTTAGGTAACAATACAAATTGTACAGTACCTACAGATCGCTAAAAATCAACAGCAGAAGTCCCAATATGGGCAAAGAGTGGCATAACGATGTATGAAAAGAATAATACAGACATCCTTCTTTGTTCACCCATGGTCGTTAGCGCAGGTACGTGTGACAGTACTGACTGAAAAATAAGCATGAATTGCTTGTGAAGGTAGAACAGTACTCCAAGCAACAGATCCAGCTGTAGCTCTTAAAGCAAGGTTTAGATACAGTCACGAGTACATGTGCACCGTAAGGACAAGGCAGTTGGGGCAATCAATACAATTACCTTGTTATAACAGGATCCCTGTATACCAGAATTGGAAGCCCAAGAATACAAAGATTTGGGGCAAAACATTTTTCTTGTTACGAGAAGAATGTATTAACAGTGGACTTATTATCAGGGTGTCATTGATTGTACCTTATGGTTGGGTGCCTGGAGTGCTGGTGGAATCGCCCAAACACGTCCTCCCCAATGTCATGGAATTCAAGCAGAATGTTGGACAGCAGATGGAATGCCTCGGGATCCTCGGCTTTTAGGTCGAGGGCCACCTTGAAGCCATCGGTGAACCAGTTCTCGCCACCCGGACCCTCGGCCTGCTCAATGCAGTGGATCATCTGGGCCTAGAGGGCGCAACGATGGACAAGTTTTAGACAGGATGTTGGGAGGGCGTGTTCATGTGCATGTATGCACGTACCGTGGCTGGTAATACATTGTGGAGAAGATTTTTCAGTTGTTGGGTAACGTTGACCCGATTGAGTGGATTTTGCTATATCCCCAGTGAGGTCTTGGCATATCCCTGAGGCGTACAATGTGCACGTGGTCCCCACAACCACAATATGAGAATGAGTGCAGGGGTTGGGTGCAGAGTAGCTGAGTGAAATGGCCAAATGGAAACAGAACCTGGTTGGAGAATGCTCAAGTCTTTGAGCAAAGTGTAAGTTGTACTCAACAAATCTATATTTCAGGCAGCTACGCAGGTGCCAAAGTGTGCACCACGGATACTGTGTCTACAGAAAACGAGACCACTTTTTCTTACTTAGCCACGACATGCATGCACACACAACACGTATGAGCTGCACACGTGGCACCAAGTGCAGTATGATAAATTTTCATCTTGATGTGCACAAAATCTTCACATAAGGGAGTGAGGGTGCAGAGGCCAATCTCTCTTCATTACAGCTGAGGGGAGGTTATGACTTTGGCAAAAAACACCCAAACTTTGAAACGAAATTCAATCTATCAGGCTTACTCCTGGTGGTCTTTGCAGAAATGCCAAGTCAGTGTGCATGGGGAATGCTTTACCGGTGAAGGCTATGTTGGTCGCATTGTACTTCACCAACACGTGTGAAGTTTGGCTGAAAAAAAAAATGCATTCAACCTCTTGATTCGTAGTTGTGTTTATCTTAATTAAGTGTGAAATACTGTGAAAGTTTTAGTCAGTCCACAACACTCCTTGTAAATGTGATTTTTGCTTGCCACATATATTTTTTGCCCACAAATTTTGCACCCTTGTCTCTGTCAGACACACATCAACTACTCACAAGGCCTTACAGAGAATGTTCCGAGAGCAAGAATTCAAAATGTAGGAGGAATTTTCAGTGCTTTTAACATTTTCTCTAGTGATCTGCTGCTGATAGGTGCTGCAGTAAACAGAAGCATGTTCTGAAGGAAAGGGAGCCGAGGAATGGGATGTCTGAGACCAGACGCGCCAAGTTGAATCTTCATGGCCTCTTTCCCCCAGTAATTCCAAAGAGAACCCAATCCCTTTGTTTTGATATGACTAAGTAACATTGGGCTATCTTTGTCCTTGCTTCAGCACATATTAATTCTTTTACAGATGCATCAGTTCACGGGATCAGTCACTGATGTGAAAGTCTTTGGTGATATTTACCCATAGTAAGTTGATCTCAAAAACAGCACTCTGTCGCCAAGCCGTTTGACCTGACCTTCCATCCTAGAGCTGCCCCGAATCATGCATATCCCGGTCAACTGCAACCAAATGGACAGATAGTCAATCATGGCACACTGTGACCAATCTTGATCAGTAACTGCATTACTGCACGAGTCAAATCTCGTGGCTTGTCAACTAGTATGTCTCTCTTATTACACACACATGTATCTTGTATGTTTCACTAAAATCGTACTGAAAATCCTTGACATATCCAATCAAGCCCATTTGGACAAGGGACATGACCGATTCCACGTAAATCAATGCACAATTTCTGAAGGCTCTTCCCTGTCAACACAGCATGCAAGAGTTCATTGGACAAAATTCCCAACTCTGAAACTATTCCATGTTTCCCAATATTTTTACCATGCCAACAGCCAGAGTCGTAGACTCAAGTCACTTGACTTGGACTCGAGTCAAACTCGAGTCTCTGTTTTTGTGACTCGTGACTTGACTTGTACCGATGCCCACAAAAACACACCCAAAACCTGCCAAGTCCTTGTCACACTTTGAAAACTGAACACCATTCGGCAACATCTACAAAGATGTTGTTGCATTAACAGAAATGTTTGGCTAAGTTCATGCGTACGTGTAACAGTAAACAGTACTTGTGTGTGATGTTTGAGCAAGCATTCTGAACATTTTTGGAACATTTTGGGGTCTTTTGCTACGACTGCTTCTTGACCCAGATTGGCATTCAGTGACTTCTCTCTGTGCCACTTACAGACCACCTGCTTCTGTACTGTTTTAACGTTTGCATAATCGCCAACCTTCATTTCCATCAGCCACTCATAGACTGCCTCGTCGCTGGACATCAGGTCCTCAAAATTGAAGATGCGCAGTGTGCCACTGTCCATCAGGGTGGTGTCCCAGTGCTGGAGCTGGGAGTCAAAGGTCACATCGGGTGCAGAGTTCTCAAAGCGGTACTGTCGCAACCAATCTAGAGATAACAGAATGCAAAGACATCACTCCAATGTTACAACAGTTGAACAATTCTTGTCCATTCGCCGTTTGCCCGGCATGATTAATTTCTCCTGTCCAACGGCCCATGATCTTGAAATGTTAAAAGTACTGAAGCATGGAGGAAGTGACGTCATCACTGAGGCGCAAAATTATGGATGTCCCATCAGATATGGCAACAGTTAACCTTAGTCGTTATAATCCCTAGCAAGAGCATCCTAGACAAGGAAGTCATGTCACCCTAGCATTTTGTACAATGACATGGGGTGAATGTACTATGACTAAGCTATTTTGGAACCTAGGGCAGCGTGCAATTCGGCACACACACAAGACTAAAGTTTGTTCTGCAATAGCCATTATGCTTTTTTTATTCAGTGACCTCTGAACTTTTGGAGTAAAGGCTAAGTGTGTTGTGCTACAGTTTCCTGACCCGATGGATACTCCCCGGAATGACCGTCAGGCCAGGTCAGACGCAGGGACTTCCCATCATCGCTAGGCAGGGCGTAGATGGGTATCATCTCCACGTCCAGGCTGGTGAAACTGAAGGTGCGGGAGTTGAGGGATGGCTTGTAGCACTGCTTGCATAGGCAGTTGTCGCGCAGCCACATGTAGGGGTAGGCCTGTGACTCCCCATCGCGCCACACCACCTGCAGGGAGTGGTTTTCCAGCATGTGCGAGGCGGACTGGATGCTGTAGCCTGCGTCCGCCTTCCGGTGATTCAGCTCGGTGATGAAGCGGTAGAGGTGGGGGCGCTTCATCACCTTGGGATCCGCCTTGGCATCTCGGGCCGAGGACTCGGTCATTTCGTCGGCAACACCAACCGATTGTTGTGCAACAGCTCTGTACCGAGGGCATCTGTCTGACAACTTCTTCCAAAAAGCACACCCAATGGTGTGGCACTCCTGCTGAGGGAAGTGAACATCAAAAAAAACAAACGTTAAATATAATCATTCTTGGATATCACTCAACGATAAACAGTTATGTCCTCTGAACGATGTTATATTGTGATAAATTTTCAGAGACATTGACATTTCTGAAATACTATCAAACCATGATCCGATGACCCATTTCTATCCAGCCAGTAAACTGTCTACGGAATTTTAGTTCACTCCAATCATTAACCAACTTATCACATTCTGTCTATGGAAGTAACAGTGGTTTGATGCTACAATCCTAAGTCCTCCTAAATCTCCCAGAACCTAGTCCTGGATTTTAAAGGATGCAAGAGAATTACGCTTAAAGTAGCATGGGAAACAAAATGATTAGGTTGAATTTGAAATTATTTCGTGTGGAAGTTTTAATAACAAAAATAGAAAGAAAATTCAGGCCGAAATTCATTTTTCCATAGGCCTAGTAAGATTTTCCGAGACCTATGCTGATATCTTTGCGTTTGGTAAAGTTTTCATTCATCTAACAGTAATGTTCAAAGCTTGCATTTTAGCACCTTATTTGTTGTTAAGATCTAAGAAACAAATTTAACACAAAAAATCGAAAGGATGTCGGTATGGAGTAAAGGAAGTAGAGAATTTTTTTATTTACTTATCTTTGTCATACCTTGGAGCCCAGATTGATCCTTTCCCAAGCCCATCAGGCACGAGCAGTTTGCTGGACACACACGGTGACAATTTCTGACCGGCAATCAAAACCCGTCTAGCGACAGCAGATGTCGCAAGTCTGAGGAGAGAACTCACACCGCGAGCACCGGACAAGGCCATGGTTCAGCACGCTGAGATAAAGCTTCAACTTTAGAAAGATCTGTCAAATAATCAAACATAAAGCAAGACCCCTAAACTATGAACACTAACAGCGTATAGATTCAACAAATCCTGTCAGGAACAGGAACAGCAAATAAACGTTCCTTGATCTAATTCAGCCAATGATCCAGGGCCCTTTTCCAATACTCGACTTGGGCTCCGTCGGAGGCTTCGTTCCCAAAACCAATCCCCGATTGCGGGCCTGAAGCGTTTAAATTAAATTGGATTACTATAATTTCTGGCTGTCTTGCATCTTATTTGATGTTTTGTAGCACTATTAGACTAATTACTGCGCTTACAGCTTCAAAGTCAGCTAGTTAATAAAACAGGTGCAGCCTAAGACGGCGCCGAAGTTGGGTATTGGAAAACGGCCCACATGACTAGGCTTAGACCAGTAGACAGGACCTGACGTATTTGTCATAGGCTACATCCGCGACGACCGGGCCCTGTTTACGGGCCGGTCTACACTTACAACCCTGAACCGCGTACAAATGGCGTTCTTTTAATTAAGTATTGTGTACTATTCTGGCCACATTATTACGCAGTACTGCCGTAGACTGGCGCGTAATTTCCAGCCGTAGCAGAATGACTCGGGGCACGGCCTAATTTGAAGTTGAAGAGAACGAAAAGAGAATTTTAATATCAAACATTGTTGAGGTCGTTTATAGTTAATTTTTAGGTGTACTTCGCTGCCTACCTCGAGTTTTTATATTTCATGTTTTTTAAATTTTTCTCTCTCTGAAATAAAAAATTCCAGAAAAAAACTCGTGAAAATGAGAAGAAAATTATCCCAATGGTCATAAAACAAAGAGGCCATAATCTTCCTGGGCGCACTACCCATCAGGCGGCGCTTTTGCTCAAGGATTTTGTGCTGATATCTATGGACGCGTATTCAGCGAAGTGCTTATTGCGCCGCTAAAAAAACATTTCCCGCGCTGCTAACAAATCTCAAAGCGCTTCAAAACAACTCTCATCAGGGAGGGGCCGTCCATGAAGTGCGTACGTACGAAGGGGGAGGGGTCACGGTTCACGCCACTGCGTACCGTACGCAAACCGAAAATTTGCCTTCAATGAATCTTCATCATAGCAATACACTTTCTCATACAAAAAAGGCACTGGGGTTATTTTTTTGTTTTTATTCGACAACATTTTTTTGCTGCCAAGTAGAATTCTCCAGGGCCGTTAATAAAGAAATACTGACATAGAAGCCTGTTATTACTTGGGTCATTTATTTAAGAATTTTGAAGCGATTTGCGAATAAAAGTACGACAGTAGATGTACATGTACAATGTACCGTGACATTTAATGATGCTAAAGCAAGGTACGCCTACCCTGAGAAGTCAAAAGATACCTGGAATGCGTGGGGGGAGTGGGTTATCGTAACAGTTCTTTCCTCGCTTCGGCATGCACCAGTGTTCGAGTCCCGGCTTGGCCCAGGCTTTAAGTGCATTCGATTTCCAGTCCATACTCGCTCGCGCAGCCTGGTTTCCTCTGGGTTCTCCTGTTCCTCCTGCCTCTGATACTACCATCCGTAATGTGATGCTGGTTGATAAAGGTTATGAATAAACGTATAAATATTGGAGCAAATGGCCAAAGTAGCTGAAAGCGCCATTAAAAGAATACATCTTTGTTGAATGCGTATACGCACATTGAATTTGAAAGGGGGTGCAGGGGGAGACGGGGTCGGAAAAGTTGGCATGTCGTACGGCCCCTCACGTACGTATGGACGATCCCCTCACCGCGCAGTGAAACTCTCACGGCGCAGTGTAACAGCGAAACAACACTTACAGCACTGGCCTGAATAGTACACCATAGCATAGATGCTGCAATTCAAGTGTAACACCTACGTGTACGCAATCACATCGCATGTTTGCAATAAGGACTTGTTACATGGCGGTTTTAGCATGTTTTGTCGCGTACAAACACATGTACTTACATGCAAAGCGAGAAAGTTTTACAATCCAGCTGATCGAGGAATAAAAATCAAAGCGGTCTGTTGAATGTTGTATGTAACTACCGCCAGTGTTCGGCATTCGTTGCACGCAGGGATAATAATGTTGGGCAGAATAGCCTAGAATCTGCACAATATCGCCCAGTCGCTCTGCGCGATTTGTTGATTTTTAGAAAAGTCCGTCACAACCTTGAATACGAAAGAAAAGTAAGTTTAGTTTTAGTTTCAGTTTTAGTTTCAGTTTCAGTTTTAGGTTTAGGCTTTAGGTTTTAGGTTTAGTTTCAGTTTTAGGTTTAGGCTTTAGGTTTAGTTTCAGTTTTAGGTTTAGGCTTTAGGTTTTAGGTTTAGTTTCAGTTTTAGGTTTAGGCTTTAGGTTTTAGGTTTAGTTTCAGTTTTAGTTTTAGTGCACAAAACATCGAAACCAACCGGTGGTGCAAAAGGCAAACAGGCCCACTAACTGGGGACCCTTGAATACACAAAAACAACAACATATGTACGAACCAAATAAAAGAAAAAAGTCATAAAAAGCGCAAAAAATTAAAGGTTAGGCCTACAGATTATCAACCGACTGCATATTGCACAGAATATCAAAATATATACTAGGCCTAAGATTGGCTGAGGGCAGCATTATCGAAAAACGTGCACTAAGATTGACGCGATCGCGTATATCGACAGATCGTGCCCCTGCCAAGCATATAGCCCGGTGGGCGTGACTTTCCCCAGGGTGGGCTGTCGGTGTACCGACGAACTTTAAAAGAGGGCAGTTCGATGTCGCCACCTCAAGGTTTACGTTACAATGTATGGTTTTGATGCCTAGTCTCCTGGCAACTTCCGAGACAAGCCATTTAGTCTACATGCCGTTTTTCCGCCACAAGCATGCTGGATCAGCCTTATTGGCCAGAAATTCTAAATAGTGAATTGTTATGAGCGCATATCCCCTTGCCTATTTTTATTGACATCAACTTGAAAAATAATTACAGACGTGAATATATTATGGGGTGCCTGGGTTGTGGGGTGAGTGGTTGGAAAGGGGATTTTTTAAGGGGTTGGTCTCTCGTCCCCTGAAGCATTTGCGCCTCCGCCATGCAGACCATGCGCCATGGATATAATGATTGATAGGCTGGTATAAAACAAATCACTTGCCTCTTAACGTCATATGAATTAAATGGCGGGAGTGATATTTTTGTGGAATATATACCTGTATTGTGGAATACATCTTGAAACATGTATTCCATGTTGAATCTGAAAACGTAATTAAAGTGAAATGAAGGGCTTCCTCACTGGCAGTTTCAGTTTGACATAGGCTTAATTACAGAAATACAGAGAAGATACTGCGCTATAATTACCCGCCTTGAGCAGAAGCACCCCCTCATCGGCTGAAAAGAAGTCATGTTGGTCGGAAGTCAGTGTTCTATGGTTTTTATTTTGTTGGTAGCAATGTGACCACAACGCATGCACTTCATAGTCGTTTGTGAGCCAGTGAAGGGTACAGTCCACTAATTCAAGCCCCATTGAAAACAGTGTAAAATCAGCACTGTTCAGGGCCCAATAACATGCACGCTAACATCCCTAATCTTTCATTTTCTTTTCAATTTTATGTGGGTTAACCAATTACATTTTTAATTATTCCCACAAAACAAAATCACCCCCCAAAAAGGGATTTTTCCGAAGCCTGATTGCAGCCATTTTTCAAGTGGCAACCCTCAACTTTCTCGGGCACTGAGGACCATTTTCAACCGTACTTTTTAGCCATTCTGCTCTATGAAAGCTCAAAGACCCAGGGAGTTGACCCTGGCAAAGATTTACGCAATCTCACCATTTTGGGGACCAAACAGTCTCTCTTTTCAACAGAAACTTTAGGGGCACTAATTTACTTTTGCGGGGGGGGGTTGTTTTGTGGGAAAAATTAACAGTTTAATCGGTTAACCCACAAAACAATGAAAAGAAACTGAAAGATTAGGGATCAGACATTGAATTAATTTGTGTTTCAGAAATCATGGCATTCTACATTTGGCATGTAGATATGCATGTAATTGGACCCTGAACAATGCTGATTTGACACTGTTTTCAATGGGGCTTGAATTAGTGGACTGCACCCGACACCGCAGCACAGAGATGGTAGTCGGAACGTATAACGTTTTTATAAAGCATAAATCATTTTAGTATAAGTTAAGTTAAGCATTTTTTAGCATTCATAAATTGACCTCATTGTGACGCATGTCATTCTACAAGATCTCCTTTTTAATCAAGAGACCCTGAGTCCGTTTGCTGCAAACAGTATCGCTTGTGTAATGCGTGAACCGTCAGTATTCAATCACAAAAGGTTTTCAGTCATGAATACTGTGGCGGTTTCTCCTCCGTAGTCAGTGAACCCGGCTCATCGGGCCACTCAGCCCAGTCGCAGCGCCGCTCGCGAGTGATTTGGCCAGGGCCTGGATCCGTTTGGGTGGAAGTACACCGCCCGTTACACCAAGGACAAGGGACGCTGAACGAAATGGCACGCCCGGTAAAGATATGTGTTATACCATCCACTTCTAGCGGGTTTATTCACTTCCACTCACTTCCTCAATGCGTGAGGTACCCTAACAAACTAATGTTAAACATTTACAAACGGCAAGGAGGGGGCATGAGGACCCATTGCGTACCCCTCGCCCTGCCGAGATATCCTGTCACAAACTTAAATAAAGGTACAGTAGCCTACTGGTCCATGTACTCACATGAATTAGTTTGTCCCGCCAGTATCCAATCCTTATGCACAATCCAAGATGAACTAATGGTTCAGTCACAATCGTCTTCACATTAACTAAATCCCGGAACCAAAGTTGTGTCAGTCGATCCAATCTGAACTCCTCGGCAGCTCGGCTTAGAATGACTAATTTTCCCAAATCTACCATTATTTAATTCCCTCCCCGGGCCCTGTTTTCCACAGTCATGAGAACACCATCTTAGCACAATACCCATTTCAACCTTTCTTCCACTTACTAATTTTTATCATACTCCGGATATTGTCAAACTCTCCCCCCTTTTTCCATCATGGCAGTCTTATTAGTTCAGTTTCCCACTTTCCACAACATAATTTACTCACTGAAAACACGTTGTCAAATCCCCTGACAATTACACCAATACCCCTTTGTTCCATACCCCTGACTGGACATAAGTTGACGGTCCCTGGGTTTCCAAACTCCCGGACCCCCGGTCTAACCCGAAACCTAATTAAGCGCATCACTGGTCAACCCCACTGCCATTTCTCTGGAGTTTAAAAGGTCACCGGACATTTGCGTTACAATACCAACAGGACACACGATGGCGTCCATCGCAATTGTCTCCGTGCTGTAATGGCGATGTTGCTTTGGTTGTTCCGCAAAAGGAATATTTAGTCTTGGGTTTGTAAGAGCTTAAAAGAAGTCTAGAATACCTCTAGTGGTAAGTGCCATATCGACACAATACCTGTTGTAGATTCTACGGAGCTTGCTTTAGCAAAGGCCGCCACACATAACTGCAGTCACGTACAACATACGACAGTATAAATGGACGGTCATGCCAGTTCTGATACAGGGACTTATCTGCGAAAGATATCCTGTAGGCTGTAAGGGCGTGCGTGATGGGTTCGTCATAATCACAACACTCTTGTTTACCATCTTGTTTTCAAGATCGGCAAAGTAAACCTGCCCCAACTAGTTTTCTTAGCTCAGGAGACGTTTCTGCAAACAACATGAGGTCGGCCTAAGTCTATTGTGGACTTTTTTCTACAAGCACGTTTTCTTATTCCTCCATGCTACATGTACGAGCCAAGGCCTGTAGTATAACCCTTATGCTGGGGTTGTACCGTCGAACCACAGAGCAAGGATCCATGGTCAAACAGGATTAAACCAGTTGGGTTATGTAGTCTACACACAGCTAGAAAATGTCAACAAACTGAATGAATAAGGAGTTATTGGGCCCATACCTACTGCTTTGCAACCAGCCATAAATATTGTAGTCCAGGTGTGTGTAGCCGATATTGCAATCATTTTTGTATTGTCCAAGTACATTTAGGCTGATTGCAAACACAGCAGTTGAATTTACAGGCTTATTGAGGACATGCCAAGCCCAGGGGCCTATACTGTCAACCACGTCGGTTCGTCTTCGTGAGGCTGTAACAACTTATTTTCAACTTCGGGAGCGCTGAACTTAGGTGACAGAATTTTCACTTGGTGACTATTCATCACCTTTATAAACACTTGGACATGATCTGCTGATGTCAAACATGGCGACAGTATCGCCCTTATGTCCAAACGAGTTTCACCAGATCACGTCCAGGTGTTTAAAAAGGTTACAGGTAAGGTCCAAGTTACTTGGACTATATTTCGGTATTGTAAGTAGACTTGTCATTCCGTGTGTTGCGTTTACAGAGACTAAAGAGGTAAGTTTAAGCACAATGCTATGATATACTCTATGTTTTAAAGCCTGGTACCCTAGCCCTGCTTAGCTTATAATTTTGTGCAGTGTTTATCCGGGACCAGAGAAATCTATTTTCAAGGATGGATTTGCGCCGGGGAGATGTCAATTAATTTTGGATTGTTCCATTAAAATGGATATATCCATCCTTGGAAATAGTTATTAGCGTTACCCGCTGCTACATCTGACTCGAACCAGCCAGCCGAGACCGACAAGCTCGGTGGTGGTTGAGTGGTTAAGACGTCTGTCCTAGTAAGCAGGATGTCGTGGGTTCGAGTCCCACCTGAGTACGCTTGTGGGTTTTTTCACAAGCCTTCGGGGGCAAACACCGAGCATACAGTGGTGCAGTACACGTTGGGCAGGGCAAAATTAATCAGAGAAATCCTTTTTTGTAGTGGTTCCTGTAGGATGCAATCTTTCAAGGTCAACTTTGGACCAGGTATTGTCTGTGTACTCCTCGTGCGCTAGCCATGCATATCTCCATGGCTCAACTTGTTAATTTTCTTCATAATGAAGAGGTAGATAGAAAAAAAAGAATGTATTTTAACAAGTTTGCCTAGTACCTCTACACAAGGATAATGGGAAAGCATTAAGTTTATAAATGACCCTTTCCCGTAATTGCCATGTAAGATGAAAATATCTTGTCCGATTTTTGCAAATTTGATATCAAAGTTGGGCAAGACTTAAAAAAAATCATAAAAGGGCAATTTAATATTTGCACCAGTTTTGCAGGAGAGGCAACGTTTCCACAGGGGAGGGGTGTGCAAATTAACCCCCGTTGATGGATCGGTCTCTTAACATTTAAAGCTGATCTTTAAGCTACCAATCTTTGGAGGATCGAGGACTGTTAGGGTTAATAGCTGACATACCTGATGGTCTCACAACTGCCCCACCCCACCCCCCTTGAAAATCGTTTCGCTTGTGTTGTCCAGTTGACTTGTAGTGGGACCGGGTTGACCTGGGACTCCGGCCACGTTCGTTTCGTACTGAGCTGACCTGCATCCGACACAGCACAGTGTCCACGCCCTCATCGTCATGAATTTAACTCATCATTTCTGAGTAAGTGGCTGGAATAAGTGAATTTACCCAACATTCCTAGTTTCCACAGTTTGGATCTGTAGTTTAACCGCTTCCACTGCGACCATAACAAAAGAAACACAGTTCACTAACAACGAGCGTCCATTGTTATTGCTCCGTGCTTCTTTGGTTTGATGTTCATAGTGTCCTCCTCCACCATATTTTACTGGCTTCACTTTCAAATGTACATGTACAGTGTACGTTTGGGTTGAACGCTATGCCTTGGTTCGGCATGGGGAGCTTGAACCTTGTACTCAATGGCACTGATATCTTGGGCTGAAGAAGCCAAACGCCAGAGGCCAGAACTGATTACAATGGTTTATACCACAAGCACCTTTGCTCTGCCAATTTTGCTCTTTTTTGTGGAAGTGTTGCTACTTTTTCCCGTATCTGCTGTTTTCAATTAGGCCATTCTCCACTTTGCCAACCGTTGCTCTGTCCTTGCTCCTGTTCAATACTGGTGATTCATAAGAGTGCGCCTCCAAGAGATTGCAACTCTTTGGCCAATCATAACGCGCGAAATTTGTCGACCTTTTCCAAACGCGCATTGGGTCGACAGATTTCGCGCATTGTGATTGGCCAACGTGCTGCAAACTCTTGGAGGCGCACTCTTGTGAATCGCTCGTATTCACAGATTATACAGGGATATCTGCAACTATAGCGTACCTTCACAGTCATGTCGGCCTAGGGTTCCGGCAGTTGACCGGAAAAAAGTTTGCATGGACTTTGTTGATTATGATCCCTCGAGGTGCCTTCGTAATTATTCGCCTTCGTCGAAGTTTCATAAATTGCAAAGTAAACGCCTGTTAATCTTTGAACACTTCAGAATTCGATTTTTTGAAACTCTGACAAATATTTGAATGTTGAAACTCGCCTAGCAGTTTTTGCACACTATAATATGCATAGTGTGGAGATGTTTCGGGTGCGGTAATCTGTTATTGAGCGCTGGTCGACATTTTGCGTGCGTCTTAAGTTACATAAAGATTATCACAGAGTACAATGGAACACTGTTGTAACAAGTTCCTTGTTGTAATAGATACTTTATATTCTCAGCATACCAAAAACAGAGACCTAGGACCAAAAATTATTTTTGCTATAAGCAAGTACAATGTATTTGCATGATCAGTGCTCTTCTTTTCTGTGTTCAAGTGTACTTTACAGTTAAGTAACATCACGGGCGTGTGTTTACGGCACGAATGCATTTTCAAGTATTAGTTGATGATCAAATATTGGCTATTCACAGCTATTGGAAACAGCCTTAAAGTAAACAGTGAATGTTGATTTTTACACAGTACACATAGATGCTATGAGGCAATGTGTCATTAACCTTCGGATGCTGTAATTTACCTGCCACTGGGAGTGGAAATTGTTTTTGGCAAGGCTAACAGTGCTTTCGATATCGAAATCGCCCAGCATTGAAATGTAATCCGTTATCTATTCTTATCGTAGCATCAACTCACCGTAAGTACACAAAAAAGTTCGGAGAACAATAATGGAGGTTGATAGAAATCAATAGATGTTACCGACCTTTTGCATACAGCACCCATGAGCATTCCCAGCGCACAAGAATTACGTGTACGAATAAAGCTTGGTCAAACTACATCAGGCACTGTTTGTGCACAAAATGCGCGGCGGAACGATGGCGGTGCTTCAGGAGGGTAATGTGATGCTGTGCGGTTATGGTCAACATAACTTTTTTTTCTCATGGGATGATGGCTAAGCCGGGCCTCGGCCTCTCTCCCGAAAACAAGCCAAAAATAAACAGAAAATGCTAGAATATCGTTTCCGGAAATAACTGACCATTTTCTTGTCAACTAATCCACTCGAAAGCGATGATGTTAACCTGTTTTTGTGTGTGTTCGTTTTTACACCTATTGTCTACGGTCTCGCGTTAGCAATATTTTCACTTTGCATCGGTCCAATCGTGATTGTTTGTATTCATTCAACAGAAACGTCAGCACTCTGCTTCTCACTTTGGTTCAGATCTGCCCCGAAGAAGAATTAGGTCACTCATGTCACATCGTCTGTCACGCGATTTGGGTTCAATGCGTCTGCATATCCAACGAACACAAATCATGGCTTTCTTGGAGATTTTTCCGATGAAATCTGGGGAAAATAAGCAACAAATTAGTTGTTCAATTTTTTAAACCACTTTTGCCAATGAGTAACATTTCGGACGGTCCCAATTTCGAGATAGTGAAGGTTCATATACAAAGCCTGATAGGCTAGATAGACTGTCATAAAGTTCTTACTAGGCCTATATTGGCTTAAAGTTAAGCATTATAAAGTACAACTTGAGAAACTTTTTGAAACTAAAAAAAGTGCGACTCACGTTTTCTTCAGTTCCTTCTTCCAAACTTGAAGTTGATCTCCGGTAATTCACTGTTGCGTACACTTCAACCATTATTCTTTCCAAATTTATCAATTCCAAGTGTAGAATTCACTTTTTCTTCAAAATCTGACGACTGAAGCACAAAAACCTCAACCAGTTTTGAAAAACTTCATTTGAAAGTACACGCAACGGAATTCGCAACGCTCGTAATTTACCCTCCTGAAAATACACATATGCGGTACGCGTTTTGGACGCGATGTCCTATCCAGTTTATATAATGGAGATCAATATATCGACAAGAATATAACATCAAATCAGTGCTCTGAAATATGTGATTGCCGAGCTTTCGGTAACTGAGTACCTTCTTCAGGGCAAGCAGATTCAGTTCTGAATAAACGTGGAAAAGTCCACGTTCATTCCCCTACTCTCAGTTTCTTCGAATGCGTAGGATTTGTAGTAGCGATGCGGAGTTCTCTGCGAGTGGGAAGGAAATGCTAGGTTTCTTTCATCAGCGCGGTTACCCTCCGGTTATCACAGACGCTGCCTCCAACGCCGTATCTTCAATCCCGCGCGGGGGCCAAGCAACGTGATTGCGTCCCCCTCGTACTCACATACCACCCTTGAAACATCCCGGTACATAATATTCTTATCAAAAATTTCCGTACACTCGGAAATGATGCGGCCACAGCTTCCATTTTCGCCAAACCCCCGATTTGCGCGTTCAGGCGCGATCGTTCCGTCGGGGACATGGTTGTGCGTTCCCTGTTGAATTCCGTCTCGCCGTCAAAAGAGGGCAGCACTTCCCCTTGTCAGCGCCCCAGTTGTAACACCTGCCCCTACATAGTTAACAGCCCGTCGGTCGTCGGCCCCCGCGGTAGCTACAGAATACGCGGGGGTCATATATGCATTACTAGTAATGTGGTTTATTGCATTTCATGTCGTCGCTGTGGTAAACTGTACATCGGAGAGACCAAGCGTCGCCTTGGTGACCGCTTCGCGAAACACTTGAGCAGTGTGCGCCAACAAACACCTGGTCTCACTGTTGCGCAGCACTTTTGCGTGCCGCCACATACTCTCGGTGACGTAAGCGTCTGCATCCTGCGGAAAGCGTCATCTGATGTGCCGCGTAAGGAACTGGAGCAGCGCGTCATTTTCGAACTTGGAACGCTGCATCCAGGGGGATGATTGTGGATTTTTCCGCGTTCATTCAGAACTGAATCTGCTTGCCCTAAAGAAGGTACTTAGTTACCGAAAGCTCTGCAATCACATATTTCAGAGCACTGATTTGATGTCATATTCTTGTCGATATTCTAATCACGGCGCTACGCAGCCCTTCCATATTTCCCTAATGGAGATCAATGGTGGCACTGCACTCACACGCACATTCTTCAGCTTGACGCGCGCACATTTTGCAAATCAAGACACCGTTGGTCGAAGAGGCGTGTAAGGCGCGCGTACCACCTGTCCACGAGCGTTGTGCCACCGCAGTAATGGCTTCCAATTCCGGTTTTCAAATTACACCACAGGAAACATCGAGTACATGATACTTCTAGTCCTGTGCTCGCAAGAAACGTTGGAAGAAATTCAGGTCTCGAAGCCACTTTTGTAAAGGACGTGTAGGCCTATACAATTATGTCCATTGGCAAAACCCTGTTCAGGGTGTGGGAACGTACCCACCGAAAAGGATTTGCATTCGATGAAAGTGGTCAGAATGTCACTGTTAACAAATCAACATTTGTTGATTTCAACAGACCGTAATTGGCAGTGTACAGCCTATACGGTCCAGGAGAGGAGAAAGCTTACTACATGTAATACATTTTGTACAGTGCTATCTCCTTTCGAGTTCCTAGAGCTTGCCACTACCGTCTATTTTTCATCCAACCATGTAAAATACCTTCACATCAGCTTCTCGTTTGCTTAAAGCTACTAGTAGTATACCGGCCATGTCGTATAGTTTCACATCACAATTTGTCAGTAAAAATTTAACGAAGTTCGTTATTATCCATCTTTCCAAACTGTTCGTTGCCCACACACATACCTGTTTTACATACAAAGTATGGACATTCCTTTGTTCTCCTGTGGTGAAGGAAACGCGAGGAAAATGCTCCTTTTTCTCCAACTAGGATAACTCCTTCGAGCTGGATTTTTGATGATGATTTCCTGGACTGTCCCTCTTCATTTTGCCACGATAACCTTGACCCCAAAATGCATCTGAAACTGTTTTTCAGAGAGGGGAAAACATTGTGTGGACGCGTGCGAGTCCGCACATAGCCATCATACCCTACTTAATGTGGACTTCTTTTGTGCAAAGGTCCACATTATGTATGCCACGCCTGCTTACGCACGTACGGGCCCACTTGTGCAGCTTATATGAAAGCCGTTGTCGGGCACACCCGAACAATTGTTACACCTGCGATTTTGCGCTGGAATGTACAGCACACAAAATTCATCTATCGGTCATTGTGCCTACATTGTATGTTGCCTTAGAATTAATGTGGATGGGTTTACAGAGACATTATGTTGGAAACAGCAATGTCGTGCCTTGATGCTGATCCTTGGCCTCAAGGCTCAATCTTCCACCATGCAAAATCACAGTCCATTCAGTCTCGATCTCGTCTTATTTTGCCCAAAAAGTGCACGTTACAGTTATGTAGGCCTACACGTACTTACCCCCAATGACTTAAAGAGCGCGTCTGTTGTCTCACATTGCTTGGATATCACACGAATTAACACATCTCCAAAGACTACATTTTTATAAGGAAATGCAAGTCGGGAATCACTTCTTTGTGGTAATCTAGAATTTTTGGCAGTCGTCGCATTTTCATCATTTTTGTCCAGCCAAATACATGTCCAGGCCTTTGCTGTGATGTAAAAATGTAATTACCTGAAATCTCGTCTTTCTTTCAGTTGGTGACCATGGCGGGTAGACTTGCGGGCATCAGTTTGGCGAGGCTTGCAGACACATCGTGGCGAATATGTCGGCCAATCCGTGTGGTACGCGCATCAGGAAACAGGTTCGGTTCAATCAAGCCATTGATGAGACGTACATCGGGCCAAGACGGTTTATCAGTCATGCTGACGAAGAGCTACTCCTCAGCACAATCTGAACACGCAGTCTTTGCCCCGCCCATATCGCTGGAGGATCATGCCGGTGCCCAGAATGGAGCCAAGACGGCAAGTGACGTTCGGCTGGATGAGGAGAGTAAGCAACTTGTCGTGTCGTGGGAAGGTGGCCGGAGTCAGGCTTTCCCGTTTGTCTGGCTCCGTGACAACTGTCGCTGCCCGCGTTGCTTCCACTCAAAGGCCTTGGCTCGCTTAACCTACGCCCATGAGCTCAGTGTCGACATCACGGCCAAATCCGTTGAGACGTCTCCCGACTCTGATGCCGTCACCATCCGGTGGGCAGACGGACACGAGAGCCAGTTCCCCTTTCACTGGCTGGGGGCCTACTGCTTCGTCGACTCCCAGCAAGACCAACTCCTGGATCCGAAGTTCGACTTTTGGGGCGCTGACATCGATCTTCAGAGCTTCGACTTTGGTGAGCTGCTTACGAACGACCGGGCCTTGTACAAGTGGCTAGCAGAGCTGGTGAGTCGAGGCATTGCGGTGGTTAAGAACGCTCCGTCCGAGGTGGGTCAGCTTCACAGGCTTGGGGGACGAGTTGCCTTCCTGCGGCCCTGCAACTACGGGTAAAACATGTGCATTCAAGAACATGTTGCTTTCCATACCTCGATGCAGTTCACTCGCTGATATTTACTCTCAAAACAATGGCATCTCCAATATAAAGGCTGCTATCGTATGAGAGTGGCAGCTTCCTCTCCTGACCGTCGCCTACCGTAGCATTCAATGGATTTGATGGTAGACGGTCGTTTATGCCAATTTTTTTTTATCAGGCAAACTTACCGTGTGACTCATGAGAGAAGCACCACAATATTATAGTAACCATTTTGCTGCAGTCTGGTCGGGGCCATCGAGCAGTAGTGAAGACACGACAAAAAGGAAAACTGCCTTGAAAATCATTTCTTTTTGCATTGTTTTCAACCCCTTTCCAGACCAACATTCCAAGTGAAGAGCAAGGTTGATCCGAGCAACGCAGCTTACACAAGCGGTCCCTTGGCTTTGCACACCGACCTGGCCTATTACATTCGACAACCAGGGGTGAGCGCTGTTGGCGATGTTCAAGATACGGAAGTTGCAGATTTTTCGACCCTATAAAAAGCTTTTTAGTGGGGATTTGTTTGGGGGAACAGCGTTACATATAATTCCCAACAAACGAAACCTCTGTACAAAATGGGAACTTTTCTGAAATTGCAATAAACCGAATCTGGACGAAATCTGCGTTCGTTAATTCTTGTTTTAATTTGTTCGTCAAACTAGATCCAACTGCTACACTGCATAGAGCAGGCGGAATGCACCGGCGGAGAGAATCTCTTCTCTGACGGCTTCAAGGTAGCCAGGGATCTGAGGAAGGATGACCCAGAGGCGTTTCGGCTCCTGTCCACAGTTCCGTTCGAGTTCTTCGACGTGGGTACAGATTATTACGGCGCCTTCCACCAGCACGCTAGGCATCCGACCATTGAGTAAGGGTCGCAGATAGGCTCTAGACCGATCTCCATGCATATGACAGGCAACGCTTTGGAAGGCAGACACCGACTACCCTCAATAGTCTTATTGACTCTGTTGTCAATCGGTCGAATGGTCAGATACGGGCACGTACACGCATGTAATTCGACCACCGTATCATAGATCATAATGGCCACCAAGTCAGGCGCGGTACCAGAGGGGGTTGCGGTCACCCCCTACCTGTGTGCACTGCTTTTTAGCGGCCCATAGCTTATTATATCTAAAGGTTGTAAACTGCCACTAAAGCGTAAACCCTGTGGGGCTTTTTATTTTGCGTGTTTGGTCAAGGGTAAAACAAAGGGATTAACCCTATCAGTCCTCGATCCTTCACCTGGTCGGGGACTGAGGACTGTTGGGGTTAAGTGGCTTCAACAGTGACGACAAATACAGAAACACCCCTAGCTGTAAACCTGTAAATCCGTGCTAGCAACGTACAAGAGGGCTTTGTCCGTCATTATTGTCACGATCCTGAGACAAGGCCAGTCTCATGACCGATAACAGTGAATACCATTTTAAATAGGCTGCCATCGATAACAGTAATAAACACTCCCACTTCAAAGAAATAAGTCCTCGCGCCACAAAAATGCTCTAATAGCGGATAAGTTGACAGCCTGCAAATCGCTATTGGGTCCCACGTAGGCAATTTGGGGTCCATTAAATGGCATGCAAGCGTAGTCTCTGGATGCATCATTGTTGTCCAGACAAATGTCACAACTTGTGATCTTGTTTTTCAAATAAGATCTCCGTTTCACGGATCCTGCCATCGCAAATTGGTCAGAATAAAAGTCGACCGGTCAAGTCGAGTTCCGTTCAATACTGTGTACATAGGCCTACAACTGGTCAAAGCAAGTTGACCGAAACGCATTTCAAGGAAACAACCCCATCTTGTGCGCTTTGATATGTACTCACAAATTTTGACATTTCTGGCCAATTTATTTTTAACCGTGAATCACCGTTTCCCCTCTCAGACTGGATGAACGTGGGGAAGTTGTCTCCGTGACTATCAGCGATCACAGCCGGGACCCCATGCTGAGGGCTCCTCTCCACCAGGTGCAGCCTCTCTACCGAGCTCTGAATAAGTACTGCAACATGCTTCTCGACCCGCAAAATGTTTTCAAATACAAAATGGACACAGGTAGGCGCTCTTACTGCTTTATTATTTTTTTCCATTAGGTGTTGGGAAACTATAACAAAGGGGCAAGAAATGAACAGACAAGTGAAACCATTTATTTACTGCATTATACGAAACTCTATGTATAGGTTCTGCCAGCACAGTTCTGTACGCGAGCAGAGCGCTATGCGAAGGTGTACGTCATCCCAAGACAATTTTTTTACAGCAGGTTAACGATACCAGGCTATGGCTTCTCAGCGATAATCCCCGAGCAAATTCTTGAAATTGCTGAACTGGCTTCTCAGTCTACAAAGTACATTAAATAGTCTTGCATAGTCAAGTCCTTTTTCCCGAAAGCCCACTGTGGTGCCATGAAGTATCCATATTCAAAACACGCTGCAGTAGATTTTTTTTTCAAAGTTCGTTTTTTGTGAGATATACTGTTTCCAAAGTTCGCCAATAGCACGCACCAAGACTGCGTGGATTCAATTTGATTTGGTATTTTAATCAGTTGGATTGGTAAGTGTGTTTACCTGTTGTGCGTGCAAATTGAACACTCTAACTAAAAATAGAGACACACTTGAGATAAATTTGTACAATTTAGTCCTTTTCCGGGATCAAATGTCAACTTTACACGCCCGCAGAATTTTGAAGTAAAATAGAGAGATGCTGACATGGGTGTACAATTTGGTTGGCAAATTAATAAATGCAAAATCGGGACCATGAAGATGGATCATAAATGCAAAAATATTGAGCATGCTGTTATGACATACATGTATATCCCGAAGCTTTCTTTCCTTGCCAGTTTCTTCATCGCCTGAATTTAGCCAAACGGGACAAAAAGTCTGACTTCTTTGGGAAAATAACCCATGCTACGTGCCTGCTTGCATGGACTTTACACCCAGGCACTTGCGTCATTGTCGGCATGGTTAAATCCACAAGCGGATTAATAAAAAAGACTGTAAAAGTGCTTAGGTCGTACAGAAGCGAGATTAATGATTATGTGCACCGCTGTCCCTCGTGCACTTCATGTTTTTTTTTTCAATTGACTTATTTTCAGGCTTTGTTTTCCTAAAAGATAAATGTACATAGATCTGGACGCCTTTTTTGTTTTCATGCTTGGATTTCCATATTCATGGCGAAACTACCATGTCATTCCAAGAAGAAAACACCAGTGATACCTTGATTTGTGCATACTGTCTGCTCGTTTGACTTCACAGTCGTATTTTGCCTATACAAGTGACTGCTAAATCTACCGGAATGGCTGGCCGTCGGTACAAAAGTAGAGAGTAATTTACAAAGTGTTGAAAATCCTACGCAGCTATCAGAACACCAGATAATAATGTATACACTTCCAAATACTAAAATGAAAATACGATCTTATCTAAAATTTGTGGGACAAATGCCAATTTTGAACAAATTGGAAGTGAAATCGAAAACCGACCAAAAGGGGGATATTTCTGCCCCACATTGGCCGCCCATACAAGTTGTATGGGCAAAATGAGAGTGGTGTATAGATTGCTGGCCTTTTTGCTGGATTCCAAATGTTCTTTTCTTTGGTGATATACATGTACATTGCAATGAGCAACTCTTTCTCAGAAATGATTTCAATGAGTCGGTTTGATTTTCCTTCATTATTCAAATAGAAAAAAGTGTCTTCCTGGAATAACATTATAGCAAAAGCGCCCTCAGTTTTGGCATGGGCAACCGTAACTGTTTAAGTAGAGTACAAATTTAAATACTTTCACCCCAAACGGGTGTGAGGTAGTTTCTATATATTAAGAAGAATACGACGTTTAAAAAAAATACTAGAGAGTTTCGGCAGAAACCCCACCTTGCGCTTCGTGAACGTGAACGAGGGCCGTTTTCCAATACTCAACTCATCAAACCAATCCCTGATTGTTGGGCTGAAGTGTTTAAATTACATTGGATTAGGCCCTACTGTAATTTTTGGATTTCTTGCATCTTATTTGATGTTCTGTGGCACTATTAAACTGATTACTGCGCTTACAGCTTCAAAGTCAGCTAGTACAAAAAAGTTGAAGCCTGAGACGGAGCCGAAGTTGAGTATTGGAAAACGGCCCTTCGCTGCTGACGTCATCAATCCATGCGCACCAGGTTTGCGTTGTGACAGCCACGGACACGTTTAGACGTGAAGAGGAGTTGTTCTACTACGAATTGTGTTTATCCCGTTTGTAACATTTCTCCAGTATTTGTGTAATAATACCAACTGACAGAGATGTGGCTGACAGTTTAAGTGCTGTGGCTTGTTAGCATGTGGAAAAGAAAGAGAGTCAAAGTACAGAAATCATGCTTGATCACTCTCCCACAAGCGTACTGATCGCCGAAACTAATTCTATAATGCACTGGTGCACCTCGTACGTGAACGTATACGTGTAACTTTACGGGGACGGCGCGCACGCGCGACTTCTGCCGAAACTCTTTAATGTCTAAGAAACTTCGTCACGTAGACCCTCAAACAACGACAATGTTCCATTGGTGAAAACGCAGAACGATTTACTGGCGATAAATGCTACCTGTACATCTACTTTCACGACCACAATTGTGGAGCCATTTGTACCCTGGCTACAAATACGTACGTGCGGTGTAACCTTAGTGCCGTGGAGTTTCTGGATAACTTTGATTGCATTTATAAGGAGAGCTGGTCCAGCCATTGAATAGTTCCTTTTTGGAATTCCACAGGAGACATCATGACGTTCAACAACCGGCGTGCCCTGCACGGCCGCAGCTCTTTCCAAGTGACCAAGGCCAGTGGCCGCCATCTTGAAGGGAGCTACCTTGAATGGGATGAGGTCAACTCGCGTCTGCGTGTCCTGGCAGCACAGCTCAAGATAACGTCAGATAAATGAAAACATGAAAATGACGCACGATCCATTTCTCGGGAAACCTGGCAACGTTACGGATATTCCGTAGCCATTTGTAATACAGACAAAGGTGTAAATAGGGGAGGCTGCGTGTACCACGTGGGCGTACGAGTAGAGAGTCCTTATCCAAAGAGAGAGAAACGGTCGTTTTCTGATGACGACTGTATCACTCTCCTTGAACTTTGAAGAACTATGCAGGAAATTGTGTATATGACGCCCATATGGTGGACTCAGTAGGACGAATGACGGGAAAGTTCACTCTCCCACAGCGCCCTGTGGGTTCGTTGGGATGGTGGGATTTCTTGGCGCCCTCATTGGATAGAATTTGTGGGAACACTTGACCTGCAGCAATAGAATCGCACCAAACGGAGCAAGCGAAATAGTTTCTTATAGCAAAATCTGCACCAAAACTAAAGGTACAAAGTTGTACACAGCGTTGCTCGTCAAAGAGGCGTATAGCTAACTCATAAATGAGTCTGTCTGTTTGTTCGCCTACTTGCCTCCCTGCTTATTCCTTTGGTATTTCTTTTCTCTCCCCCCCCCCCATGCATGGAGATCATTTGGGAGCATTTGGCTCATGTTGTTAAACCATGGTGTGCTTACCACTGAAGGCATGCTTGATCGTTGCAATACACGTTGTGTTCTTATGCTTTATAACAGACTTAACAGAACCGACTTCTGGACGCAGGAATGGGCCATTTTCCTCGTTAACTTCGTTCATTTTGTTCGTCTTGTTTATAGGTCGTATACCTTTGATTTGACTTGTAGTTTATGACTCCTGGTTATATTTTGGTAAGCCTTTTAGCTGCAGTATCGCTCGCAAGATTTGACTGATGTTCGATACGAGTATGTAATTTCTAGAAACAGCATGCATCCCTTTGATTGCTAAAAAGCAAATGAGTTAATACGTGCATCTTAAGGAACACCGGTAGTTTTGCTATATGTACACCAAATTCTCTAATAAACCAACATGGTGCACGTTGTTATGGAAGTCTGAAGTGTGTGAGACTTGAATGAAGAATATAACTGTACTTCATCTAGAGGAAAATCCCCAGATTTTATAGCGTCATGAGATATGGTTGATAATTATAAATTATGTAAAAGTTGTCAGGATTCTGTGAATTAGGCAATGATCGATAAAATAAAGCCCGCGTAAATTTCTGTACACATTCAGAATTCATAAAATTCTGTGAAAGTGTGATGGCGTCGATCTTTTATGAAATATTATGAGCAGTCATGTGCTATACAGCACATCTTGAGATTGGTATGGGTACAAGGCCAAGGAGCAACCTGTAAAACTTTATGAGAGGTTTCTGATGCACACGAAATACTTCGGAGCTGTACGCCTCCGTGACAGTGACGTAAATCTGTGTTGGGAATTGGGGGATGGCGAAAGGTGGGGGATGACTTGTCCGGCTATGGAAATTTGAAAAGTGTGTAGGGGGAGACACCATATACACTATAAAGTGGGCGATGTTCATGATAAAGATGTACATCTGTGTATCAAATTCATGCAGAATCTTACATACGAATGGCATATTCATGGCTTTTGAAATTTGCTTCCCTTTTTGTGATATTGCTAACATTTTAGTCGTCGAGAAAATCCTGTAAATTCTTCACAACCCGTTTTAATCATTGTTGCTCATCACAAAAATGTAGGACATGATTCAATAGCCCCCCCCCGAAAAAAGTGGGGGGTATATACTCCACCCCCGCGGGATTTGCGCCCATGCTCAGTAATGGCTGTGCGAGAGCTTACGGTAATACATGGAAGCGTCCGTAACAAGCTAGTACAATTAGTAGGCTCTCTTAACTATGATCGAGAGACGGTGCTATAAAATAGAAAATGGGATTGGTTCTGGGTTGGCAGAATCTCGCAGGGGGGGGGCTGTTTTGGGCTTTTCGTAACTGATGTGTACAATATGTCCCGGTGCTTTCATACCCATATCAGTGGCGTGAAGAGGACCGGAGTTTCAGCCTATTTGAAATATGTCTGATGGAATGGGAGGGCGCTATTTGAAGAGTTTAACAAACACCACTACATATATATTCTATCCGCCATTGGGATGACTTAAATTTAAAAACAAATTGCGCGGCCGTGGAAAATCGAAAAACAACGGGGGGAAGGGGGAATGGGGGGAGGGATGGGGAATTGCTGCACACCGCATCATGACACTAGAGGGCGATGCTCATGATACAAATACGAGGCTAGTGTTTGTTTCCATGGATCTGAATCTTGCAATTGAGCAGATATTCTAAAGCTGGTTCGTGCTTTCAGTACAGGCAGGGTCTGGGTGTCAGTGACGACGGATCTGCGATCGCCGCTGCCAATTTGCGTAAAACAAACAGCCCTGATCCGTTTTATGTTAATTGTTCGCTTTATACTTACACTCCTTAGTGTTACATTTAATATGCTATTCGGTATGCTATAGCCTACATTTTAGTTGTAATTTTGAAAAATGCTTCTAAAACCCCATTATGCCCCGCCCCCAATTTCTTGGCACAAATAAAATTACACCACTGTCCAGGAGGTTTGGTGAACAGCCCGCAAATGCTACAGGGTGAGGGTTACGGGGAAATTGCGTACCCAAAATTTTTGCGGGTGCTTTGTGCAGGACATAGAGGAAGTGAAACTTTTTCGAATGCCGTTCGAACGTGAGGGGCACCAACCGGACCCAAGCCATAGACCTTGTTGAAGAGGGCGCTCCTGCGTTCCATCGGAGGCGTTTGCCAAACAGCATGCATCCCTTTGATTGCTAAAAAGCAAATGAGTTAATACGTGCATCTTAAGGAACACCGGTAGTTTTGCTATATGTACACCAAATTCTCTAATAAACCAACATGGTGCACGTTGTTATGGAAGTCTGAAGTGTGTGAGACTTGAATGAAGAATATAACTGTACTTCATCTAGAGGAAAATCCCCAGATTTTATAGCGTCATGAGATATGGTTGATAATTATAAATTATGTAAAAGTTGTCAGGATTTTGTGAATTAGGCAATGATCGATAAAATCCGCGATAAGCAGCTTTGCTAATATTCATTTCAATTCAGCCCCAAGAAACACATATCTTTTTTTACCCTATTTTACCTTAAATTTATTTTATCATTTTCAAGGGAAATTGGTAGACAAACCTCACGGTTGTTGTGCTATATAAAATTATACGTTCATAACTTTTATGGAAAGTTGCATATACAATGTCATACCAGGAAGAAATTTCAACGTTACAGCTGTTTCAGCACCAAACGTTATTGTTTTTATTATTATTCTTTTTTTTTTTGGGTGGTTTATTGTTGTGTCAGTGAATGACACTAGCTTAGCTATGGAGACCAAAGTTTCTTACAAATGTTTTCATTAACCGAATTTTCCAGCCTCGTTTTGTCAACTGGTCACCAACTGAAAAAATAATCGTTTCGGGAAGAGGAAGCTTTGTTGTGCGGGTTCCATCTTTTATTCGCTTAGTGGCCACTTAAAGAGGTACACAGTAACACAGAAATCCAGTCGATAATTATTAGGATATTAATATGCAGAGCACAGACGTTCCTTGCTCAGTCTCGATCTATTCCATAAAGTTGAAACTCGTGTTCGTTTTGCCGCTGTTCTCATACAATGAGGCCAGGTTTCCAGTCTAATAAGCCTTCATAACCTAATTTTGTATGCATGTATTTTACATACTGCTTGACTACGGCCGTCTTATCGCATCATTGGTCGATTCAACGCATGCGCAAACGTCATCGTCAGGGAGTCGATGTTCAAACATGGCCGTTCTGAGTTCGCGAAATTAAATAGAATCCAAACTCTTTGCAATTGAACGTAAATGATGTCTCTTGAGAAAGATAAGTGTACTTTTGATATTCTGAATATGTTGTTCGAATGTTTGGTCGAATGTCACTTGTGTTGAAGGTCTTCATGTCGCTGTCAGTGAAAGTTGTCTTGAACGGAAACCAGTTAAATTGACCGCCTCTTCTGTATACGCAGCTTGTGTTCGCTCCCGCGTCAGTCAACTGGTCATATCATTCACAAGCAGCACAGTGCCACATTAAACAGCGGCTGGTGACCTCAAAATCTCATTAGCAACAACTAGTATGTCGGATTTTCAAAGTTCCTAATCATGGTACTGCAGCCCTTGGCTTAATTTGAGACTGTGATTTTGTTGGTTAAAGTGCACTTACATGACCTTCTAGTTCTGAAATTGTCGTTGGTAATAGTCGAAAATAGAAACGCCAGAACTTTGGGCCGGCCGCAGGCGCTGTGGTCATGATGGTCCGGTCAGATGTCAAATGGACCTTGGTTGGGTTTAGTCTCTCTGGTCAAATCTAGCGTTTCAACTCAAAAGTTGCAAAAATGAGTACTTCACAATCCTGACATACCTTCAAGTGTCGAGGAGAAAAAAGATAGTTGGCCTAGCCTACTCGAAATTTGAGCCATAAATACGTTAAACCTGATTTGTTGTCCGGAGACTGACTCGTGCAAAGAAGTTGTTGCATTTTGAGTTGGAGCTGGCATAGGAAAATATGATGAGTATTTTGTCATCCATGATGGCGGAGGAAAATGAACTACTGAGTGCATCTGAAATCATCAAAGGTGAGACTATTATAAAAGTATTAACGTGCTTGACCGTAGAGTCACCAAGTCTCTGATTTGCCACATATTGTCAAGTTTCATGGTTTTCACTATGGTGAAATTAGAGACCTGGCGAGTAGGCCTGTAGTACCGTCACGTACGTTATACCTAACATGCCTAGGCTTAATGTGATGGGGCTCATTTTTCTCCTTCTCACTGAAGCAACTGCATCATAGGCCTTACCAATAATAAGTCCCATTGTCATGACAGTTCTAAATTCCAGGGGGGGGTACCTTACCCCCAGAACTGTGGGCTCTGACGTCTGCGGGGCGGACATCAAATCCCACCGTTCTGCGGGGTAGGGTATACCTCAGTCCGGCCAGCAGCTGTGCTGACCACTGCTAACTAACATTTGGACAAGTTCAGGTGATATGAATATTGCCCAACCATGTCCAAATGTTGAAAACAGCGATTTGCAGAGTCCAAGTTACTCAGACTACTCTGACTAGGGGTATTGTAGTATTATGCAGTTGTTAATGTAGCCTTCAAAAATGCACCTTTGTGTTGTAATAAATTTCTTTAATTTAATTTTATGCTGATTAATTAACCCTAACCTTCCCTAACCTGTCTGTGAAAGTTGGACACAAAGTTCTCGTACAGTGCCCATTTATCTGAGACAGGTCAGTCTAAAATGTATACGTTTTCCAACTAATGTGTTTGATGATGCGGATTGGCATTCATGTGGCCAACACCAACTCTAAAACCATATGTCAGATTGAGCTGCAATTTAACATTGAAATATCGATGACTGCAAACTATTTTCATTTGTTTGGGAGATAATTTACATTAGTTTGTTACTCTTTGAAATTGAGGAATGCATGTTAATCAAGGGTGGGACATTTGTATGTTTAAACAAAAAAGTTCCAAATCCATTTACAGGTTTTGCCAATGTTTTAACAAAACCGCCCCTTTAAGACATTTGACGTTTTAAATGACAAAATCTGGCATTCATTTTCATTGTTAATGATGCCTGTATGATGTAATCTGACTTTTAGAACACTTAACTACTCAATCATATCAAAGGAATACCATAAATTCATCACCGGAACTTTGTGTCAATTATTTATTTGTGTACAATTTGTCATGTTTTCAATGACACTGTTGTAAAGGTGGGACATTTGCACGTTTAAACAGTTTGGGAAATTTTCTCAACGTTTTTCAAATTAAACGTGTGACACTGACGCTGAAAAAAACCCTGTATTGTCACACAAGTTCTTCCAACAACTGTCCAGAAAATGGGTGGCGAACGTGAATTTTGTTTAATCATTCTTAGGGATTTCAAGCAATGCTGGAAACTACTTCAGTTTACACAGTGCCTCTTAAGGTGCAGCTGCAGCGGCAAGTACTCGCTACTGTAAACACAATGTATAAACTGCACCTGTCAAATACTATAAAAGCTAACATGCCCTTCAGTATCTCACAGTGTTCAGTGTACTGAACTTCATGCGGAAATGAAAAAGTTTGATACTCTGATAGATTTTAAGCACTGCAGAGTGTTGAGTTTCAGCTTGGATCAATCCAACTCTTGTGCGTTAAAAGCTTAATTCAGGAATGTAATGCGAGCGAACAGTGGTACAATCTTGTTACAGGAATTCCTTGTGCCGCAGCGACACTGTCTAGATGAGACTAATGTTTTGCATCACAAATGATATTGTTATTTGTCACGTAGTAAACTCCATGTAATTTCATAAAAAGTGGACGAGGTGGAGAAAAAAAATGAAATTTATTAAATTCCGAGAACTACATGTACAAGCATCACAACAAATCTGTCAAATAGAAATGGAGAGGGTCTAGCGGAATTGTGAGTTTTGGGATGTTTTTAACTTGTGCCAAAGATGGGCTGACAAACTGTTAACATAACTAACCAAACAAATGGCATAGCATTAAACTGATGAAGGAAATTGGTAGAATGACATCTGCCAAAACATTTGCCAGCAAGTAAGCAATCACAGAAATGTAATCTGTTTCATTGGTATCCTGTTTGAGGAAACTTTGCTCGCAAAGACATGTTTTTTGTTTTGTGTTTTTGTGAGATCTCAATCCAAGATTACTTGCCAAAGTGCAACTTGCAAATCAAGTCTTATTAAATAAGCTTGTGCGTGTGTATAAATCATAAGATTGATTGATGGTACCAAATTACATGGAGACTTGGTCTCAACACATGATGGTGTAGGAGTTCAGAGGGTGGTGCAACTTCGCTTAAAATATTTAATGGAATTAACTGGTCCATTGCCCTCACAATCTTTCTGTTGCAGATCGATTCTACTTTGCAACCTTGCGGACAAAACCAAGAAGCACAATTAACACTCATTACTTCAACATCAATGATGAACTGGTGTATGAAAAGTGAGTGTCATATTGTTGTAAACATGTTTGTTTTGAAAGGAAGCCAAGCCAGAGCAGTGTTCCAAAGGTGAAGGATTGTAGTGGGGCTAAATTTAGCATGAATTTAGACAGACCAGCTCACATAGATGACCCCTGCTTGACGTGAACAATCCTCAAATCATGATGTGTTATATGAACTCTTAAATACATGCAACATTTATCCTCGGAAGAAGTCTTCTTTCGTCATTTAGGAGAAATCCCACTTTGATACAAACCAGGAAGCGACCATTGAGGTTTGTCAGTTTTATTTGAGCGAATACAGTGTAATATAAATCTAGTTGTTTTCTTTCTCAATGTACACGTACATCAGAGCCAGAACAAAGTCTATTATTTCCTCTCCTGCACAAAGTACATCTCTTGTTTTCAACGACGTGTAACTTGTTGGTAAACAATTGAACAGTTCCTGTGTTTGCACACATGCAAGTGCATTATTGATTTTGAAACACAGGCACCACAAACATATTGTACTTACTGTCCTGCGCTCACAATGGCACCGGCTCAGTGAATAGAAAAACTGGCAGTCTGCCCAAAAGTGCCTACTGCAGTGCACTCTTCACATACATGTACATGTGAAGATTTCTTGCTAACTTAGCGTGACGGAATTTGCATAAAGTAAATAAGCATTGCATGTACCTCTACCTTTATGCACATGTGAATTGAATATACATGACGTTAATGCACATGTACATGTTAGTTTAAATATCTACAACATTTATCCTCATGTACATGTAAGTTAAAAATCCACAACTCACACTACATGTAATAGTGCACCAGAGAAGGGTGATGTGCCTTTTGTAACTTTTATGCTTGTTTATCATGGTTATCGTGCCATTTTTTTGTTTTCTTACAGTTTCTATGCAGACTTTGGGCCTTTGAATCTTGGTCAGTTGTACAGATACTGCTGTAAAGTCAACAAAAAATTAAAGGTGCGTCTTGCAACGGCTTTGTAAGCCTTTTTTTATCATAACCCTCTGTAGATTTTATCTAGGCTTACGTGCAAAAAACCCTGCTTGAAAACCAAAGGATTCCTGCTCAAAATCTATGTGATTGTCATAATAACCGAGCAACAGGTGAATACCATTCCAAAACAACATACTGTACATCACATGGAGTTTTGGCTAGTAACGTGATTTGCCAAGCAAGGTTTTTCACGCTTAAGCAAATTTTGTGCTTAAGCAGCTTTATAAAATTGGCCCCAGTGTTGGATATCGTTGGGTTTAGCATGATCATTGTCAATAACTGTGTTTTTCTGTCCATATTTGTGTCCCAATTTGCCCCAAATCCTGTCTTGGTTTGGAGCTTGGCCTCACTTTTCTCTGCCAGGGGTTTCAGCAGCAATATTGTCACAGTTGAGATTGCTTTTATTCTTGTTCCCAAGTGTAAATAGTGAAGCAAAGGTTTCGGATCCGGCTTGAAAATGATCATTAATGCATAAGGCGATTTGTTTGTTGTGAACACAGTGCACCGTGTATTAAGTCCTGTTTTATGTCACTTTTGATTCCAGTCGTTTTCCTTAGCAAAGAAGAAGATTGTGCACTACACAACATTTGACGCCAAGAAACGTGCCAATGCAGCTTACCTTGTAGGAGCATACTCGGTAAGCAATCTTACTGTAAAATGTCACCACCCCCATACACCAAAATCCACGCCCACGTGATGGATTTGGGTCCATAGATCCCATCCACTATTACTAAATTTCACTAGGGAGACGATTCCCCTCCCATGGTACAAAATGTATGCAGTGGCGAAACAGGAAGGCATTTTTCCTGAGCTGAAGCGCTTAGGGAGTTGGGGCTAATCGGCAGTGAATTAGAGTTTTCCTGGAGCCATGGGGTTGCTCGCCGTGGCCAGTGTGAGCTTTGTCTTTTTTTTTTAGTCTCTTTTTACTGAGCAGCCAGTCAAGGGCAGTACTCATTCTCAAGCCTTGGCTAGGGCTGTTTGCTCGGCTGTTGCATGAGCGAGCCATATCCACATGTATTGTATTGTGTGGATGAGTCTGTGCTTGCCTCACATACGTCAGTCCTCACTATCCAAGCTATCACTGATGGTGTTACAAATTGAGAAATAAGGTTCAAAATACAGCCAGCACGGTTTGAAATTTCCTGGTTATGTCTGACTTCTAAGTTGCCTGCCTCATTAATTAATTCATAGGTAGGTTTTGTCTGCATGCACATGTAGTTGATGTATTGGCCAATATGTACATGCATACGTACAATCTGTTTACACCTGTGAACATTCATTTCCGCCCCTCTTTGCTCAGTTTCCTACCAACTTAAATTATGTTGCAAGTATGCTTCATATGACATGTACGTATTTGCTTTCATAAACTCGCATGTGTGTATGAATGAGGCTGCATGCAAATACTTTATGTAGAGGAAAATCTAGGTTTCTGCTCCATTGAAAATATGCAAGAACCTGCTGACAGTAGACATAGCCATAGCTTGGAAAACCCATGTCAGAAATAGCCCGAGCCCTGGTTGTTCTGCTTCTGTTAAATTTTCTTTTTTTTTAATTGAAAGGTGATTTATTTGAAAAAGACTCCTGAGGAGGCTTATCGACCACTTGTTGCCGGAACAAATCCACCATACCTTCCATTCAGGTCAGTTTTTGTTTCTTTCATTTGGACAGATATTGCCACTTTTTGCCCTAGGTAGTATTACACAAGTTTGTGCAAAATGAGTTCACAGACGCCTTCAAAGCACGCCTGTCAAATCGTAAACCGTGCTTGAAGGTGGAGTTACAAAGGAAATGTCCAGCTTGAGCGCTTGTGAAGTTTCTCTTGTTGCCTTGAACCCGACTACAGTAACTGTTAGGCATTGTTGCAGACAGTGATACATGAATAACCAGTATCAATACTTAAGCCCACACACACACACACAGCACTGAGAGTTGTGAATAGGTGCACGTATGCCGTGTGGACTGTTTCATACGCTGGCGATACCTGAACTTTTCCACTTGGTGGTACTGACACATGTATGTACATGGATGTAGGCAGAGTACGTGCATAACCTCGTGACGTCAATTGAATACAAGGTGGATGAACTTGCACTGTATTTTCCCCCCTCAGTCAAGGTCACGGAGCCTTTGTGTGCCTTTCAAGCAACTAACAGAATAAATGGACTCCAGCCTTGGCACAGGTGTATGCAGAGTACACGTAATGCTTGATCCAACTGCGTATATTGTTGCTGGCAATCAAGTTGGCCTGTTAACACTCTTAAGCAGTTATATTTTCCCAGATACATGTGCAAGCAGGTTGTACAAAATGTACAGTACACCTACAATGTACTCTGTGATCCTATTGCAATTTGATCATCGGATTTGGATCAGATTGATTTATTATTATTTAATGCGTTATACAGAAATGTCAAGATAACCTTTGTCATTACAGTTTGACATATTTTCCAAAGCGTGACATTTTCCCAGGAATACATATAGTTGAGCCCTGTCATCATCTTCTTTTTCTGACTATAAAACTGTGTGTCTCGTGTGCATGTGCAGGGTTTGACCTTAACGCTGGTCCGCTAGCCAAATTCAAGTAAAAACCGTGGCGGTCTAGCAAAAGCCCTCATCAGAGTTGTCCGGCGGTCGAGTAAAGCATTATTCTGAAGTAAGCATGTCCTGTAGCTGCTGCTGCATGCTGATTTTGGAACCAAATAAAATAGCACCTTTTGCAACCAAGATTACTTTGGTCCCTGGTACCAGCCAAGTAGAAGTAATGCTGAAGTTCATGAATGCAGCATCAGTAAATCGTTTCAAACATCTGTTCCGCAACGCCCATGCTGCGTGATCGTACATAACTGTCGACCATTTACTGGACAACTACTTGCGATCTCGCGATGCTATGACTTGACGTTGGTTCTGCGTACAAAATCTAATCGGCACGTGCGTTCCTGCATCGCATCATGCTCACGGAGGTACATGTAAGTTCATGAATATGCATCACGCGTATGATGCGCCGGGTGTGTAATGTTTGTGTGTACATATACATGTATATATGCATTACGTGTGCTATGAATGTGCAATACTGGTTTTTCTGATCTGTCATTGGTAGTTGTGACACCAGCAATGTCGCAGTTGTGATTTCGTGTTTGGTTCGCACGCTACAGGTACTGGACACAGTTGAGAACGAACATGTACGAATACATGTACAGCAACACATTACAACAAGGTCTTTGGGACTTCATTGATTGATAACCTTGTTAAAATAGTTACCTTGTGTTATCAGTAACGAAACAATAAAGAAACACCAAGACTTGGGACCTAACATTGTCCTTGTTATAAATATGACGTCGTATAACTCTTCATTATCGTGTTCAACTGCATGTACATTGTGTACATTTTGCCAGGCCTGCATACATTATGTGCATGTACATGTGCATACTACATAGAAGGTATATGTACTGTACATGTACATAAACTGTTCACACTGATATGAATTTTTTTTTTTCTGTTTCTTGGATTTTGAACCAAACAAACCATTTTCAGCCGTTAACCACTTCGTCTGTGTGTTTAATTTGCTTGATTAGAGTTATAATCATGAATATTCTGAAGATTCATAAGTCCCATGGCCATTTATGATCAGGCCTTCTCATCAACAATTAAACATTAACAGTCAGTACCAAGTGCACACTTATGCATGATGTTGGAACAGAAAACACTACTGCCGAAAAACAATGTTAAAATTTGGCGGAAGATGCGGACCAGTGAAAATGCTGGCGGACTAGTAAAAAGCTATCACTGCCGGTTTGGCTGGCAAGTGAGAAAAAAAGTTAAGGGCAAACCCTGATGTACGGATGTGTACGTATCATGTCAAACATAAGAAGGTATTCAAGCAAGTGGGGCAGACATCTGTTAATGTCACGGCAGCATTTTACTACATGTGTTTTTGTGGACACTAACAAATATCAAATGAAGCATAGGAGGGAGGGAGGGGAGGTTATTGAATTGCCTCCTTGAAGCAAGGTTGTCCTTGGGCAAGCTTTTATTGGGCAGTTCCTGAAGTTCATTGAGATTTGTGATGTTTGTCAAAACCAGACACAAGTTTCCAAGAAGTCAATTCTGAGTCAATGTCAGGAAATTTTATGCCTTGCTATTTCATGCTTTTTTTCAGGTAGCATAGTCCAAACTGAAGCTTTTGAATTATGAAATCAGACTGTTACAAGCATGAGAAGTGGTCCTTTACAGTGCAGATTTGAAAAAAAAATACTTGTGCGGTGAAAGTTTTTGCATGGAACTTTTACAGGACATTTTAAACATCCATACAAACGACCATCACAAATCACCAGATTTTCCCAAATCAGTGAAAACTCCCACGTCATGTTTCTTCGTAGTTGCCTAAATTCCATTTGTAGCAGTGTGCAGTTCTCCCTGATTTGACGTACTGCTTTGTGTTATGACATACTTGATGTTATGCCAAATGTACGTACAGGGTGTAGTTTTCTTGGTCGCATGCTCTGTTCATTTGAAAGCCCAAATGCATTCAGAAGCACTGCATGTACTGCACACCTCACGCCCACTCCAGGAAAATATATGTACCACCAGACTTCTACCATGCCAATGCACATGTGGCAGCAGCCAAGTGCCTTAGCCACCTGTTGGTTGGTTGCTTGGCAACACAAGCCCTAAGCTGCCTTGCTCAGGGATCTGTGCTGACCAGTGTTCAGCACCTGTATTATTCTCATGCCTCCTACAGATATGCACATATCCATTACCTCATTGTGCTGATAAAGAGCTGTGTTTGAAAAGCTAGATTTACTTAAGACCTGGTGGTTGATTGGTGTTGAATGCAGACAGGTCCCCTTGAAGTATTTGCAAACAAGAAGGATTACAAGTAACCTTAAGCCTGGGGCCAATGCTAAACACACATCTGATATCAGTTACCTGTATTTATTGTGTCAGTGTGTTACCTGAAACTGATTAGTTTTAGCAGTTAGAATTTTTTAGACATCCACATTTACTCTATGCTTTAGCAAAGGTGTACTTTACAAAACTACATGTATATGTACATATGTCCATGTACATGTACATCATTGTGTGTATAGTGTGTGTTCAAACCCTGCGGTCGGTGGCGGTACAACCCTTTCTACCATACTGTTATGTCTGTTTTATTCAACCGTACATTTCAGATTCGTCACAGTAGTTTCTTAATGGTAGAGTTTATAGACTTGACACATTTGGACAAAGTATGTACATGTACATGTTTGTATTGGTTGTATGTGTGCTGATGGAAGTGGGAAAAGTTTTTGTGAACATGTCCAACATGTTAAAATAAAAATTAAAAGTAACAGCTTACCTAAAAGGAGTCTTGTCTTTTTTATATTTGGCATTTTAAAATGTGCAGCCTCAAATCTTCCATACTTCATTTGAGCTTTTATACGGGTATTTATAATTATTTGGTTATACCATGTGTTCTTACTGATTTAAAATATGAAATTCCATATTGTTTGAATTTAACGTTTAAGTCAGTCATTCCAAAATTTGATCCCCAGTTGTGTATACACGAGTATTGTTAATATAAGAATGTAAATTAAATTTTGAAATGTTAAAAACATAAGTTTGATTGGGTTACATATTTTACTGTTTAAAATCTATGTTCATGGTTCTTTATGGACATGCATGTATTATTTACCTACACCAACAAACTTAACACCATGGTCTGAGTTTTGTAAACTTAATTTATGCACACTTTATTATAAGATGAAATGCTGGGATTTCAATTTTTTTTCCATTTTCTATCTGACCTGTAATCTGGAGTTTCTATAATTGTATTCATTGCAGGGATGCATCCTTTGGGGCCTGCACGTACAACCTGACCCTCCTGGATTGCCTCAAAGCCATCGATAAAGCAATAACACACAACTTCCTTAATTTTGAGTCATTTGATGTGGAGGAATACGAACACTATGAGGTACACGCAGTCGCAAGGCACCGTACTTTAAATACAGCACTCCTCCCAGACTAAACACATGCATGTTAGATAGATTGATTTCTTTTGAGGACAAGAATGAATCCTGTGGTGTTTATTTGTTTCCTCGTCCTTGATCAGAATGTAATACTTGAACACACAGGCAAGAAGAGCCAGTGGTGGGCTGGAACATTTCATTTCCTCATTGTATTTTTGACTGGTCTATTTGTGTGTAATGCCCTTCTGATAATGCGATGTGACTTCCTAATGATTCATTTCCGTTAAGATCTTTTAATGTCGCTCACTGATATTTAACCTTTTCCTTTATCACTTAACAAAAAACAAATACGGACGAGGCATGAAAAATGACAGAAATGGAGAGTCATTGCCATTCATATTTTACAATCTTTGAAGGACTTGTTACTTTGTGTTTGTGTACGGTAGCCAATGTCTTGTCTACTGCCACTTGACGGTTTGGATTTGAATCCATTGAAAAGTCATTTTCACTGCACCGTTTTTCATAAGTATGTTTTCTTTGTTGCAGAGAGTGGAAAATGGTGATCTTAATTGGATTCTACCGGGGAAGTTCCTTGCATTCAGCGGTCCGCATCCAAAGAGCAAGATTGAAAATGGTAACACCAGTCCTTAGTTTGTTGATCTGCATATTGCATTTTAGGAGCTCATGGAAATGGTCAACTGGTTCAAACATAGTGAAATTTTAACCTTAATTTGTAGCCACTCTTTGTTGCAGGTTGTTTTGTTTTTTCTGTCAGTACAAAAATTAAAATAGGCTACTCTTCCTAGTAAGCTTCTTGAAGCAGCAAGGCAGTTCTGGCCTGTATCATGTGTGAGAGAGGGCAGAAGAGGCTGCTTTTCTCTGGAGGTGTTTTTTTTTTCCCTAACCGTTTCTCAATTTCTTCTTGCTCAGGTTACCCATTGCACGCACCAGAGGCTTACTTCCCCTACTTCCGCAAGAACAACATCACGACGATCATCCGCCTCAACAAGAAGATCTATGATGCCCGGCGGTTCACGGATGCAGGTTTTGACCACTACGACCTGTTCTTCATCGATGGCAGCGTGCCGAGCGACGCCATCGTGCAACAGTTTCTCACGATAGCGGAGAACGCGGAGGGTGCGCTCGCAGTTCACTGCAAAGGTAAGAAGTGATATTCACTTGTGGCTTAATTATGATGGACTTTAGGATTCATAATGTGACTCATTCTTCAGGATGGACAAGACGATTTATATTAGGATTCAGTGCAAAGATTCCATCTAGGATGGTCTGCCTTTAGCAGAAGTACCCCCCCCCAGTATAGGGCTGAGTCAATTCAAATAATTCACTATTCGAATGTCTGACCTTCAATTTGATCGAATATCCCAATATTCGGTCGTACCGACCGGCAGATTGTTGATGAACAAACCATATACAAAATCAATTGCAATAACACACACATTTGTACATTATGATTAATATGATAGCTTCTCACATCTAGGAGTATCTCCGGCCATGATTTAGCAAGATTTGAGAGATAAACAAAACTTCTCGCACTGTTAAAAATTTCTATTCCTTTTTAAATTGTTTAATGAATAATTTACTTTTGAAATCGTAAGATTTCTGACGCTTTTCATTTGAATCTGTGTGAAACAAGCCTCCATAGTGCAATTTTTCTCATTTAAACAAAAGAAAATTTTCCCTTCCTTTTCATGATTTTTGCATTCGAATATTCAAATACGAAAAATAATATTCAAATATTCGAGAAGCAATCGGTTCTTTGGATATTCAGCACAGCCCTGGATTGGTAGTTTTCATCTGGGGCTTATCCACATGCCTGGCACCCACATGAAGAGTGAACATTCAACAGAAGTTGTTTGCGTGTGCTAATTGTGACAACACTTTATTCAGTGAAAGTTGCCCCTTCTCATTTTCAGATCTTTTTTTGTTTTCATTGATGCAGCTGGCCTGGGTAGAACTGGTACACTAATCGGCTGCTACATGATGAAGCACTACCGCATGACGGCAGCTGAGTGCATAGCCTGGTTGCGGATAACCAGGCCGGGGTCGGTCATTGGACCCCAGCAGCACTTCATGGAAGAGTAAGTAGCTGAGGAAAGCCAGACAGGATAAAGGGCTTGTGGTGTACTATAAATAGATGGGCTTGCATCCGACCCACAAGCCACCCCAGTTTCCCCTGTCACACTCTGCTGTTCAAGGTTTTTAAAGTCACATACAGGTGAACAACGACTGGTTGTTAAAAAAGGTGAAATTCATCCCAACTTATATGTAAGCCCACAGAGGAAATAGAATCACAACTGAGAACATGGAAATCTAACTTACATGTATGGGAGTGTTAGCTTTATTTTGCACTGTCCCCTTCTCTCTCTGATCGTGGAGAAAACAGTAGGAAGTAGGTAAATGTGCAGTTCCCTAATTTGATAAATGTGGATTAGCCAGGTGCCTAGAATTTTTTATGCCTAAATGATGGGGAAGGAGATTAGCAACTTACCTTTCAAAGCCATAGGAAGACTGTGGGGATTTGGAAGGAATCCCACTTCCGTTTGTAATGATGAACAGGTGGTCACTTGGAGCTGAGGCCAATGATTTGCACATTCAGTCACACTAAGTTTGCCATGGAAGCCCAA